AAGATTGGACTGGGGATGTGTCTATTGGGCATGCGGCGGCTCTGCCACGTTGATCTGCTTCAAGAGTTTCAAGGCTTGGCTGAATGACCAGGCTTGGGATGCGAAGAACAGAGAGTGACGGCAGTGCTTAGACATTCGACCTGCGATCAAGGTGGACAGGCATGTAGATGCAGACGGTAGGGGTATCTCGCACTTTCCTTTATCTCAATGCCATTACAAAACCACGAATTTGGCGAACAAGTATATCACACACCTCAATAGCAAATTCCGTCAAACTCCTGTCCGATCTTATTGGCATACACCTTGTTTCACCTCAAGTGAAATATCGAGAAGCATATAAAGTAAATCGTGACTTCCTCTGTTTCGCTATATGTCTCGGGCCAAGATACCTTCGTTCCTTGGGCCCTTGTCGGTAGCTTTCCCATTGGATATCGCCTATCCGCAGTTGTGAACTGGATACTTCTCGTGCTGTGACGCAACAACAATCGTTGACTAGTAAACAAAGAGTGAAGATCTAGATTGGCTCGCTTGGATAGAGTCTGTCTCAGGCCACGATACTTTCGCTTCCCAGGCACTCGTCGATACGTTTTTCGAAGATATCGCCTTGCCATACCTTCAAATTGGTTACTCCTCGTGCTAGGACGCAAGAATTGTCGTACCATGTTGATCCGGCGATCAAGACAATTGACCCAAGTTTGCTTGCTTTGATACCATCTTTTGTCAGGGGAAGCTCCTCAAGACAATACCTCTTCATAGGGATATCGTTACGACGCTTTCAACTATTCTGTGTCTGTTCAGTAGAAGAATAATACCCTCAGGCACATCGGAAGGACTTTCTTCCAGGGGAAACATCTTAAAGTCATGTACGTTATACTTCGATGCCTGAAGGACATCTAAGACGTTCCGGCATTGTCTCACAACTCGATGACGGACAACAGAAACTTCCGCAAACAATCAAGTCGCCGTGTGAGATATTTCTCGGCTTTCACAAGCCTGTTCGACGTCTTTGAGCACCATCTCATTGTCGTCTCTCTTTCTCTTGATCAAACTCTCATCAGATATAAACTACTGTTCTCTCCTTCAACATCCACAAAACATCCATCTCACCCCTGATCTTAGCAAGGTCAACACAAGCAAGACACTATGGCTAACAACGAACACGTCATGAACACTAGGTCCGGTGGAAAGAGACCCCTTGCGGCTGCCACCAAGGTTACCAGCACAAAGCCTAAAACTTCCAGCGAAAAGACTAAGCCCAGCTCTACTTCCAAGTCTACTGGAAAGAGACCCCAGACTGACAAGGACGACGGTTCAAGTTCTGATGCTGAATCAAACATTGTCGTCTTTGAACCTGGCACGAACAAGCCTGCAGGTTGGAGAGATGAGACCGGAGGCCCTACCTCACGGGGCACCATCGATGACGAAGAACCGGTATCAGCACCTGGCGACAACGACACGACAACCGACAAGCAAACCACTGTCAACGAAACCAATGTCGTCAAGCACAAAGGCAAAGGCAAAGCCATTGCAAAGAAGTCTGTGTCCTCTGAGAAGCAAATGCCCCTGGACATCTCAACTCTGAATCTTCAAGACACACCTAAGCCCTCCTTTCGTCAAGCCCCTGGAGCTCGTCCAGAACACCCAGATTACCCAGACCTACCCCTCAATGTCCCCGTCGACAGCGAAGGCATCCGTAAGTACTTCCCCCTACCGCGTACCCCAATTCCACCTCGCAACCACAACTAACTTTCCCTCCCACAGCAACATCCTACTACTCCCGCCTCCACGGCCGCGTCCAAGTCTGGTCTCACAACCCAGCCCCCTCTTCCTCCTCCAACCAACCCATCCCTCCCCAATCTCCCACCTTCTCCCAACAATCTACCCCCCAAAAGTACAAATCCTGCGACAACTGCACCTACGCACGCATAGAATGCGAACCAAGCATCACCACCACCACCACCACCACCACCACATCCAAATGCAAGGAATGCGAGAAGAGAAACAAGAATTGCCATTTCAGTGTCATAGGAGACAGACCTGGTGATCGCGAAGAACTGAGAAAGAAGCTTGGTTTGTGATGGGGTGCAGAGAGTCAAGAGAGTGAGGGCGAAGAAGAGAGAGTCTAAAAGCGGTAGGGCAGATACTTCTAGTATGAAGAGATGCGAAGGGCTGTTGTCGAAATGCACGAGGGAGACTTGAGATGGTGGGGCTTCAGTGCGAAACCCGACATGATTGATACGGGAAAGTGGCTCTCAGTGATAGAGCACGACAAGAACGACTGATTGCTGCATTTTGATAGCGGAGGAAGTTGCTGATCTCCACACTGAGAAAGACTTTCAACATGGCAGGTATACTCTTCTCTATGCATGTATCTGCATGGAGGATTGCGCTTTGATTCATAATACGAACAGGTCCAACCAACTATCCAAAAAAGCAAATGAATTCGTTACAAACATAAACAGATATCCATCCTACTTATCCCTTAGGTAGAGTTTGAATTATCGGCACAAGAAAACGCAGATCCGATCTGTTTCGAAGCGTATGCCTCCTTGATCTGCACCACAACACCATAAGTACCGCCAATGCAGACAAAAATACCCAAGGGGATGAATAACGCATGCACCCAGAACAGAACCTGCTTTCCAGCACTACCCTTACGGTACTCCCAGTGATCGTAAATCCACAACCATGCAGGAAGTGAGATGGCAAGCGGAGCAAAGCAAATGCTACCAGCAAGGGAAAGCAGATACTCGAAGATAGGAACTGCTTCGGCGAGAATGAAAGATACGATTGCAAGACCGAAGGTACAGGACAGCCAGGTGGTCCAGTGGACGAGGGTATTGGATTGGAGGTGACGCGAGTCGCGAAGAACACGAACGAAGATGTATTTTGCGGCGACGTGGAGGTAGAGGCAGGCGCTGACGACTAGACTGGGTAGGGCGATGCCATAGCATACCATCTTGATGGTTTGACCAGCACNTCTGTAAAGGTTGTCAGAAATATCAGATGAGATGTGAGCAGAGCAACTTACGCCTAGAGAAGGACTAGCCACCCATTTACCGCACCAGCGGTAGACAACAAGACTGAAGCTGAGGTACGCGGCTGTAACGATGGCCATGCAGATGAACAAAGCCTTGCGATAGTCCCTTGGGTTCTTCATCTCGGAGATGACGGGAAGCATAGCACTGGTACCAGCGCCAGACACAAAGATGGTGCAAGAAGCGACCATACCAGCAGCAAAGCTAGGATAGGCGATAGCATAGAAGCCGAATTCGTAGTCGCCAGTCTGAGGAGCAGAGGCAGGACGGTCGCGAGTGGTGACTGCGATGACAAGAATAAAGACGGCGATGAAGATGGAGGCAAAACCAATCCATGTGAGGAAGCCGATCTGGTGAAACTTNNTGCGGACGGAGGCTGCAAGAGCCACACAGACAGTAGCCAGCACAGCCCACCAAACCGAACAGGCAGCATGATGGGACAGAGCATTGATTCCAATGGATACACCGACTATACCAGAGCCAGTAAGGATGACATATGCGATGATGAACAAGGCACCTGTAAGCTCCTTCATGATGGGTCCTCCGACCACTCCAGCCATATCGGCGATACTGTGGCACCTTGGGTGGTTGTTCCGGAAGTCTCCTTGTAGTACTGCGGTATAGGTGTTGAGGGCTTGCCATCCAATGACACTGAGTGCACCGCCAACGGCACCTAACGAGTACATGGCTGCTGGAATAGATAGTACACCAAGGGCGAAGATGGTCTTGAGGAAGATGACGGTAGCCATCGGCCAACCCACGGTTCGGAAATTGACTCCATCCTCTGTTTGCTTGAAGACTTCAAAGTCTTCGGTGATGCCTTCGAGTCTCTCTGCGTCTCCTGGTCGTGTTCCCACGTGGAGGCCTTTCTCCTGGATTGATGATGGGGAAGACATGGTGATTTCTGTCTAAGATGGACGGGATGTTGATCAATGGGGGTCAGGAAGAGTAGTCGGCACTCATACTTGAGGAGTACATGTTGAAGATGCTAGTCACGAACTACCCCAACACAGATTGCGGCCACATCGTATCTCGATGCGCCACGTGAGGTGATAAGCAGGGACCAAAAGTTTCTTGTGTTGTATCAGAGCCTATTGACCAGGATCGACGACGGTTTCTGGGCGTGATTGGACGAGCTTGCTTCTTTGCTGTTTCGATGGCCGTCTAGAGACTGGGCATGTTGGGGTCATGAGTAGATAAGGGTCAAGATAGGCGATGTTGGGGTTGATGTTTCGTGGGGAAAGCGACGATCATTGGGGTTGTTATCACATTGAATGTGTCCTTACTCCGCGTCTAACCACACCCTTTACCCTGGCGGAATGGGAAGAGATGCGATCAAATCATGACTCGAGGACATGACGAGAGGGCTTCGAGTTCATCTATCCAATTGCACTTTACAACAACAGCCCTGCATATGCCGGAAGGACGACGGCAAACGGAACATGAGCCGGTTGCTCGCTTCGGCGACGAGGGCTTGGACCTTCCATGCTTCTCTCAAGGCTCTTTAGCCGGCCCGTAACCGACAACACGACAGAAAGTCAGATAGAGTGCGGAAAAACGAGAGCAGCAGTGTCTTTCGGATAGTGTGCCTTGCATGCTGCCTACCGTGCGGTCGGTAGCGGAGTCTTTCTCGGACAGAATGCCACATGCGTACATGCATTACCCAGACACGATCACACCTTGTGTCGAGCAGCGGCATATCATGGTGTGATGTACGCGACTGTACTATGATGGCACGACTCTGCAGTTAGGGTCCAATGCGTTTCGCCGGTCCCCATCTCTCCAAGACTTGAGGTCTGCTTTGGCTTTTAGAGTTCAGGGCGAAGTCGGAATGGCCGACAGCCGACACGGGCGCAGTCGGGAAGGAACAACCCCGCGAGACCCCGCCGTGTCGACGTGAGCTCTGGACTCTGTCATTGACGTGCTTGACTTGACACCACAAACACACATCTTTTGCCAAACATGCCCATCACCTCTGGAGCACCCGCTCACGGTAATCCAGCACACTTGCTGCCACCATCATGGACTGCCGTCATTAGCGGCTGGCTAGCTGAAGACACACCATCCTTTGACTATGGCGGTTTCGTCGTAGGCGCCGCACCCGCCACTGCCCGCCTACTCGCCAAATCTCCCGGTATCCTCGCTGGCGTACCTTTCGTGGACGAAATCTTTAAGCAGCTGGACTGTAAAGTGGAGTGGTTGGTCAGCGAAGGCGACCTCGTTGGTCAGAACGGAAAGCAACACGTAGCCACCGTGACAGGTCCTACACGGAACCTGTTACTCGGCGAGCGCGTAGCTCTGAATGTAGTAGCCAGATGTTCTGGTATTGCCACAAAGTACATTCCCCCTCTTTGACTCTTCTTCTCCACCGACAAGACACTAATACGCCGAAACAGATCCCACTCTCTCCTCACCCTCCTCCGCAACGCCGGCTACAAAAACACCCTCGCTGGCACCAGAAAAACCACTCCTGGATTCCGTCTCGTCGAGAAATATGGCATGATTGTCGGCGGCTGCGATCCTCACCGTCAAGACTTGTCCACCATGACCATGCTCAAAGACAACCACATCTGGGCTTGCAACAACAACATTGCCACCGCCGTTGCCGCAGCAAAAGCAGCAGGAGGCTTCGCCATCAAGGTGGAAGTGGAATGCCAGAGCCTCAACGAAGCAGAACAAGCCTGTGATGCAGGTGCCGATGTAGTAATGTTGGATAACTTTACACCCGAGGAAATGAAGAAGGCGGCGAGAAGTCTAAAGGAGAAATACGGAAGTGGGCCTAGGGGTCCGCTTGTGGAGGTTAGTGGTGGTTTGACCGAGGATAATGTGAGTGATTATGTTAGTGACGATGTGGATGTCATTTCGTCGAGTAGTATCCATCAGGGCACCAAGCATGTGGATTTCTCGCTCAAGATTGTGCCAAAGGGGCAGGAAGTCAAAGATGGACAGGGAGAGAGCACAGCTACTTAGAGACAAAAACAGCATACTGTATAGAATGTACAAAATGAACCCAGATGCAGAAAATACTCTTGAGAGGCGGTTGATCTTACGATAAGACCAGAGAGGCGTAATATCTACACAACTATACACATGTACATGTACTCTAATCCTTAACACCCCACTGCCCAACCATGCCCATAGCCTCTTCACCACCTTCAGCAAGTTTCCCTCNTGTATCTCCAAGCACACCGGCAACACAATGCCACCCATCCCTACCCCCACCATGCCTCAACACCTCATCCCTAAACCTTGCTCCAGCCTCTGGATCCACAGCCCCTCNTGCACTTCTCTTAAACACATCTTTCCATATCTTTCCCGCAATAGCGCGATCAAACAGATATGAGTAGTAGGTAGCTCCATAACCGAACAAATGTCCGAAAAAGCCTTGCCAAGAAGTTCCCGCGGGTTCTGGAAGGGAAGAGTATTTATGCCAGACATCGTGGTATGTTCTTGTCGAATCGAAGCTCTGATTGAGCGGTAATTTGCTGTGATAGGTTTGATCCAGCATAGCTAACAAGATCTGTGCTTCAGTTTCTGTGCCTTGGGAATGCGTGTCTAGGTTTACTCTTTCGGCGACTCTGGTGGCGTCGAGTGGAGCATCAGTTTCCCAGTGACGGGCATATAGAGCAAGCACTTCAGGGGCAGAGGCAAAGTGTTCCATGAGCACTGAAGGCAGTTCTGCAAAGTCGGTGGCGCAGCGTGTTCCACTGACGTTTTGGAGTGCGGTGCGACCGCAGATGGAGTGGAGTGCATGGCCCATTTCGTGAAACAGTGTTTGGACTTCGCGGAAGGTGAGGAGGGCGGGTCGTTTAGTGGCTCCGCCTTGTGGGATGGCAAAGTCGCAGATTAGTGCTATAGTAGGTAATTGATACAACTCGTTGTTGTCGCGCTGGGATTTGCTTGTTGATAGGCCGTCTGTTGCTGCTTCTTCGGCTGTGGAGAAAAGATTGCCTGTTGCGTTTTTCAAGGCTTCTGCTTCTTCGAGTTCATCGGGGAGGATGCGACGGCTGCAGCGAAGTGTAAAGTGGGCTGGATTGGGGGACTTTCCAGCTCGCTCGAACAGATCGCAGTAGATTACTGCGACATGGCCTTCGCGGTCGTCTATCACGTCTAAGCGACGCACGTCATTGTTCCAGGTTTCGCCGGGAGCAGCTTCCTTTGGTACCAGACGGATGCCATAGAGACGATGAAAGAGGCGCGATAATCCTTGCATGACGGTGCCGAGGGAGAAGTAAGCTGAAAGCACATCTGNAGTGCGAGTCTTCGATCTCATCGAAGACAAGAGGCGGTGTTGGTAGTAATCTCTATCCCAAGCATTAAGCTCACCAGGGAAGTTTCCACTACGAGCATCCGAGTTTTTCATCTCCAGCAACTCCTGTACTTCTGATTGCACGCGTGGAGCATTGTCAGCGGCCAGCGCGTCCAAGAACTTGACCACGGCTTCAGGGCTTTTTGCCATCTTATCAGACAAAGCCATGTGTGCAAAAGAATCATGCCCAGAAAGACGAGCAAGCTCAGCACGTCTGTGCAGCAAATGTTCTAGACGTTCAATGTTCGCTCTGGCTGATGTACGGTTGGCCATGTAAATCTCTCGTCTGGTATCTGCATCTTCTACGGTACGTAGCGCCAGAGAAGCAGGCATACCGATTGTAGGCAGAGAGACACTACCCCATCTCGTCAATTGCCGCACGACCAGAGGATCCATACCCTTCAACTTGCTGCTAGCAAGTTTGAGGAGCGGTGTCTCTGGCACCATTTGATCGACAAACTCGGGACCAATTTCAGCAATCTCATTGGAAAGCTCGACAAAAGCCTGGCGATCGGTGTCAGAGAGGTCAATAGCTGATTTAGCAAAGTCCCTGGCAAGGATGTTGGCAACAGTCAATTCCTCCTCGCTCCATGATGCAGTAACCTCGGGGATGGCAAGTGCAGCTTTCAATTGGTCGTTCAAGCCAGTAGTTGTGTTCAAGACATTCATGTACTCAAACATCTGTGCATACGCCTGGGTAGCAGCGATTTGTATGTTGCGATCCGGATGTGTGGAGCGAACGAAATCGGAAAGGTCAATGACTCGACATAGCAAGTCACTCAAACGGTCCAAGTCTTTTGCAATGCTCTTGTACTGTTCTACACTGCTGTATGCCAGAACCTTTGTGACTATGCGCTTGCATTTTGCTAGTGTGATGGACGCAAAGTGCTCGAAGCCTTCGGGCTTGGTAAGATAGCGGTTCTGGAAGAGACCTAGAGATTTCCGCGAGGGATGGGTCTGTCTAGTAGAAAAATCCTTCCAAAAGGGCTGCGAGTCGAAGATTTGGCGTAGAGTAGCATCCTGGTGCGACGTCTTTGGGTCCCGATGTGACACAAGCGGCGGTGGGGCGGAGGCGGATTGCGAGGCTGCGGAGGTCGCGGCGGTGGCTAGACGGCGACGATGTTCATGGCGGAGACATTTGGCGCATGTCCAAGGCCGTATCGNGGGAGGCCTGAGCATGCTTGAGTGCTGTAAAGACAGCTCAAGTCATTTGTTTTCTCTGGTCGATGTGACGACTGTCGAACCCGGGGACTTCTGCTCCGAGGGTGGAGAGAGGCAGCGGCAGCCGGCGCAGCTCACACTTCTGCCCTTCGTCTTGTCTGTAGATACGCACGTCCAACCCGCCGTCGACTCCTTCACAATGGCCTTCCAGCCCCTCCTACGGCATGTCAGTGAAGCCTGAGAATATGCGCATGTCAATTGACCTCCACTAACCTTGTACGCANNGTCGGCCGCGCCCGTGGCAGCCCTGACGATGGCTTCGCTCGCTCTCTACCCAAGAAGCGCCTACGCCGAGGAGCTCCAACACNNGTACGACCTTCTCTCAGTACTCAACCTTCAATCACATCTCACACCATGCTGCAGCACACGCGCAAGCCCATCTACGACACCCCCTCTCAGCCACTCCCTCTCCCGCCGCCATCCACGCGACCACCCTCAACCCCGAGCCCGTCACCCCCCAGTCCGCGACAACCAACCCCGATCCACAAAAGTGACCGCCGAGACCGTCGCCGCCCGCGTCCTCGGCCAACCCGCCTCGCCAACACCCACCCAGCGCCTCGCCGAGCAAGTCAAGCGCGCCCGCGTCTTCCTGCACGCTCAAGCCGTCAAGGCCGAAGACAACATCGACGCCGGCCTCACTCGTGCCCTCAACCTCGAGCACTCCTTCATCTCCACATTGCAGTCTCTCGCTCCCCCCAGAGAAAGCGGTGAACGTCTTTTGCCTGGCGGAGTCTACGTCTTGGTGGCTGCAATGGCCGGCAGCATCGTCGCTCGCAACCGCAACATTCTGCTGCGCGGTATCGTGCCCGTGGCCACTGGTGTGGGTGCTTCGTATGCCGTTTTGCCCATCACCACCCGCAATGTCGGTGACTTGGTCTGGAAGTACGAGGAAAAGTACCCCGTCATCCGTGACAACCACATCCGTGTCCGCGACGGCGTCTCGCACTTTATCGAGACTGGAAAGGCGCACTCGCAGATGGGCTACTACCAGGCCGTCGACAAGGTTCAGGGTGTGCGTGAGGCCGTAGAGGAGTGGGTCAGAAAGGGCAAATAAATCACAAAGAGTCTCGTTTCCCTTTTGTTTCTACTCCCTCATAGACTTTTTTTTGTTGTTCTCTACCCTATTTCCTGCTAGCAGCTGTCGAAGAAAGAAAAAAAGTCTGTATATTACGATACGTTCAAAAGCACAATTCCGTCGAACCCGTGCTTGGTCGATTGTGAATACCGGATGATACTGGTTGCGTTGATTCACGATTTTTCAGTTTCTTGGCCCTACAAGAAGTTCTGAAATATTGCTAAAGATAAAAGTATCCTATCCTAGGAAGGACATATTTACTAGCCAGAAATATTTGCGCCATGCTTGTGACTACTATCCTCTAGATCAAACACACATGCTTTTTTCACTCCCTTGCCTTTGCTGCAGCAGGACTCTCGTACTTGCTGCGAAGGAACTCCTCAAGATTTCTGTCTCCCATGGCATCCACTCTCGGATCTTCAGGCTTCTTGGGAGCCTCCTCAACCACTTCTTTATTTTGCTCCTTGTTACCGTATCCCACGGCAGCCAACGCACTCGCACCCACATTGGCAGCAGTGCTATACGCGTTTCCCGCAACTTCCTTGGCTTGTTCCACATACGTGGGCTGCGGCACCTCGGCCTCGGGCATGGGGTGTTCTTTAGGCGCCTGACCGATCGTGTTAGGTTCGTTTACGCCATAGGTATCGCCAAAAGTGCCTTCGCGCTTGTCGGGCGTGCCATCGGCGAGGGTGCCATGGGCGTGCGTGTGGGATTGCGCAATATAGCTCGTACCTGAAGTGCCTGTTCTGTTTGTGCTGGGCTGGTTTGCAGATGTCTGCGTGGACGAGACTTGGTGGTGTTCGCGCACGGGGAGCGCGGTGGTGGGCGTTGCGGTAGCCGGGGTGCCGTCGTAGGAGGGTTGAGGCATGGTGGTTTCGCCGGCAGGAGGGCTGGGAGGATGTGTGTGTTGGCCGCTGGTGGTTCTGTAGAGTTCGGCGTCTTGTCTGGCGTGTTCGCTTGCGGCTGGGGCAGCAGGAGCGGATTGCTGAGATTGCTTGACAACAGCAACCTTGCGGTCGCGAGGCTTGCCGTTCTCTGTGCCTACTGCAACGGCAACTCTGTCACCATTGGGTTCTGTCACCCATCTGATGGGACCGCTAGGGATTGTGTCCATGCCGTTTAGCTTATGCGGTGCGGTCCACTGAAGCACATTGTGGAGGTCTGGGTCGATGTTGGGCAGGTCGCCAAACTTGTACTTCAACTTGCCGCCATATTGCTCGGGGATGTTCTCCGGTTCAATGTACTTGGAGAGTGTCGGGTACATTTCTTGCTTGGAAAGAATGAAGATTTTCGACTATGGCTTTGTTAGATACTCGTGAGTCCAGCGGGAGAAGAAGAGATGAGAAGAGCATGATCACGATTAGAAACACAATCTTGAATCTTGGAAGAGAATGCCATGATCGGAGAGGACAAGACTTACGACAGTGATAGGGTCGAACCACTTCTTGATCCAACTCCAGACGGTAGGGAAGAATGAAGGAGCTCCGATGATGAAGATCCTGTCCAGAGTTTCTGGGTAATGTGCAGTGGCCAGCTGACTGGCATCTTGCATGTGGTTTTTCAAGTTCCAGAATTGTCTCAAACCCACGTTCGAAATGTCAACAATGTTGCTCGACTGCGATACGGGTGTCTCTGGAAAGGGGCGGTTGGGCATCTCTGAGCAGAGAGGCAGCACAAAGTTGGTGAGGTTCTCGTAGAGGGCAAAGAGACGGAGCATCTTGGCAGGAATCTTAGACTGCACGGATTGGTTCTTAGACGAAGTCGAAGCCTCGTAGGCCGAGACAGCCTTACTGTTCAGGTGGGCGACTTCGAAGATGTAGACAGGGATGCCGCGGCGGTCTTGTCGGCCAGTCCATTGGGGGTACTGCAGCTTGTCAGTATGACGAGCGACTACCGACGGTATAGATGACATACCAANGACACGAGTCTGCTCATACTCGCCGACGTCGATGGTGTCGTAGAGCTTCTCGAGTTGGTTCTCCTTGCGCCAGTCTTCCGTGTCCTTGAACTGGCCAAAGGCTTCGCTGGGAATAAACTTGCGAGCACGCAGATACCGCAGCATCGTCTCGTCATCATGGCTGGGCAGTCCATTGGGACCGCCTGTCGGGTCGTAGTAGCCCTTCTCCTGACATAGCTCCTTGAACGCCAGCAGTGCCTTTTCTTGTCCAGGGCTCAAGTGTCCTACATGGGTGGCCGGGTACTACGTTGCAGCTGTCAGCTTTGGCTGGCGTACGGATTTGACTTTGGCGGATAGTCTGCTCACTTGGTACGACTCGATGCGCTGCAAGTCGGCTCCAGACATGATTTGGTTCGGCTGCGGCTGTCACTAGGAATATATGATAGGTCCTTAGGAAGCGCGACAGATAAGAGTCAGAAGCAGCAGCAGTCCTGCACCGGATTCCAGGTCACCGTCTCTCCTGGGCAGCGTCATTGTTTCGGTCTGCTCGGAAGCCGCTAATAACCACTGCCACCCCACGTACCTTCCCAACTCTATGCCAAGCTTCCTTGTTGCTTGCTTCCGACTTCGACTCCTGGCCGTGGACAACTCCCAGGCTGGCTCTGTCGCAGCCTCTCTCCGAATCTAATGCATCGTCGCGACATGCAAGCCAGATTGCATCGATACGCTATCGCCGCCGCCAAGCTTTGTTGACGAGTCCTTACATGTCCACTCGTCAGACCTCTTCCGAGATGGCTTTGGTCCATGAGTCGCGAGCCTCCTAGGTGCAGCCGCCTGTCTAGCGAGAAAGCAGACCTGTATCGTATGTGACCCTGGGAGATGCGCCCTGTCTCTCCCCACAACCTTTGCGGCAATCTCAGGTCCGATCCACCAGCAGCAGCAGCAGCGCTTGCACCTACATCCATGCCTTTTACTATACCACGAATCAAAAGTCTTCCCATAACAGGCGAGACGCGGTCTTGTCCACAATTCTTCACTGACTTGCGTACGCGCATGAGATCGCCCTGTTCTGGCGTCTAATTATTGACGCCGTGTTGCGATATGGTGAGATCGTATGTCAATATACATCCTTGGTTTTGACCCCGAGGATATGGCATGATTCCCATGCTTAGATATGTTCATCTCGTGCCATCAGCAGCATCTGCTTCACAATGGCTGCTAGTCGAGCATGATGAGTTTCAAGGCTGCGACGCGAGTTACGGCTTACAATCCGACTGGAAGGAACCGCGTGTCGTGCATACCGCCGGCGCGGGCCATAGCGCCCACCGTGCCACCGATCCACGGCTTCAGCCTGGCTAATTACCGCTTACCGACAGTACTCTGCACGATCGACGGCTATCGGATCGTGCCTATCCCTGGCTTCCATGAACGTCCATTCGTCCACCATCGCATCTCCACTATTGGAGAGAGAGAGAAAGACATGAATCTATCCGCAAACAGTAAATGGTGTTCTGTTAGACGGTGGAAAGCCAACAACAGCGATGCAGTATCCACGTCGTCGGATCACAATGCTGATCAAGCTCACAGCTCCGACAGGTCGCAAGGCGTATTCGAGTAAGGCGCAAAAGCAAGCCGCCCATTCACCCATTGCTTGTGTCTTTCGTTTCCTATGACGGACGGGGGCGGATCTTTGGTGGTCCGAGACTAAAAGCCGTCCTTGTGTGGTCAGATTGTGAAATGGTGACAGTTCCTCATCATTATTACCCAAGGTTCGAGGACACCCATACGCACTCGCCAAGCCTATGTATCTGCAATGCAATACAACAGATAGCCTGATCTGCAGGAAGAGTATCATGCAGCGGTGTCGCCGACGATTCAACATGGGCTTGGCAACCTTGGATCACAGCCTACACGTGCTACACTTGCTCGCACTCGGAGCATGATTTTTCTCAATGCAGAACGGCTGCAATTCTCTCCAAGAACGTGGCTCGTATCGCGAGCCGATCATTTGTGTTACGCGAAAACCTCCAGTTTCGGCTTCTACTCCCGTCTGTCGGCCACCAATTAGGGTGGACTGGTTGTCATGAAACCGCGACACATCCTGACGTATGACAGGCAGCGGAACAGAAAATCATACATTGACCTCAAGCTAAGCAGCCACCGCAGCTGCTGCAGCCTTGGTGAAAGGTATGCAAGCCTTGCTTCCACTACCTCCCGGCATCCAGTAGCTATAAGCCATATCTACACTCAAGCCTGTTTGTCAATATCCATGATCCGACTGGTTTCATTCGGCCGACCAAGGAAGACGTCAATCCGAGGTGGCCAATGAACACTGATTGGAAGTCTCCAGCTCCCCAGTCGCTTCTCTGGCATCAAATCACTGAAACTGCGCCCCGTCTATATCCACTTTTCTTATTGCTTGATTCATACCGCAAATCAAGCCGGCGATCTTGTGCTTTCCAGCGCGCCACGGCGAACGCATGATAGTGTGCAGACCAAACACACAACCGCCTTGAGTCTGCTGTTACCTAACCCAATGAAGGAGAATGCATTACCCAGCGGCAGATAACGTGCTTCTTGACGAGGCGGGGAGTTTCTAAGCTTAGTTTTTAGACAAGGCAACAAATGAAGGCTGGATTGGTATGCGGCACGACCATGTCCGTGGATCTCTTGTTTGTGTCTACAAATACCAACGCTGTCTGTTTACCCACGAGCAGACAGCGAAAGAAGAAAAAGACTCCCGGCTGTCCAATACAAAACATCGCTACCCCTTGCAGAACGAAACCTTCTCTCTTTCTCTACACACTCGGACATGGGTTCACGACAGAGATATCAGATTTGCATTAACGATGACCGTGATTTGTACGTCTGGAAGGAGACATGGAAAGAAGACACGGTTGCAGACTTCTTGACGCGTCTGTCCAGCTCCACGATACCTCGACTTGACCGCCAGAGGATACATTTGAGCTTTGACGGCGTTCGTCTAGGTGAATCCACAACCATGAGAGAGGTTAGTTTTTGTCAATGTCGTGTCCCAAAAGTGATCCTCATTGCAAACTTCTGACTCGGAGACTAGACTGGTCTGGAAGAAGGAGATGAATTAGCTCTCCATTATGGATCCTCACACGCATGCAAGCTATGCACCGGATCACGTAGGTTCATCTCGAATTCGCTTGGATCTCTTTGTCCAGAAGAACTGACACAGGAAAATTCGCAGACNAACGGTACAGGGTACATGACTCGTCAGAACGGTTGATGGATCTTCCCTGGAAGCTTCTCGAGTTCTTCCTAGAAGAAAGCTCGACAATGACGACTCAAGCAACAAACGAACCCCGAAAGCAAGAAATTGAAGAGAGAGGGAAAAAAAACGGCAGACAGCACGAATCCAATGCGGTCGAGGCCATGAGCAACGAAACAAAAATCAATTGGCAGGTATAGGTATTTGAGCGGCACAGCGCTTGACGGAACGACATCTCAACATTTTTCCAATGGAGGTTGTCAGGAAAGAGCTTCGGGAAGCCCGTTGAGCCGCTCCCGAGAGCCATGCCGGTATATGTACCGACATTGGGCCTTCTACTTAAGGAAGGAGAGAAGGAAAGTAAAGGTGCTTGAACAATAGCACGTCACATCAGTCTGACGTAGTGTATACGTACAACCGAATTGCTATACCCAAAACCCCCTACGTTCCTGCTTTTTTTTCGAGATATGCATCTGCAACATTGGCATGTGTGGGGGAGACGGCAAAATCTTGGACAGCGTTCCGAGCAAAACGCAGACAACTCACGGGGACACGGTCACTCGCACCGGCTTGTCGAAAAACGCGAACGTTCAGTGTGCTGCTTCAAAAAAGACCTTGTGCATGAATTACGAGTATTAGCCGCTGCTGCAACATGCAGCCAATTCCAAGCTATCACGCCATTTGGGAAAGCGACTCCGAAACTGCGAGATGCTTACCTCGACACCGATGATCAGCACGATCCAAAACAGGGGGTTTGTTTTCTTGCGGCTCAAGCGCTAGTTTGTTCATGGAGTGGGATATCTAGCTGGTATAGGCGGCACCGAAGTTTAGTAGTCATCAATGCTCCGAGATCTGCGTTCGGTCTCTTTTGGGAAGGTTGATGTCTGATTTGTGCGTATGTGAGTCTTTTCGCGACTGCTAATAAGTTCTTCATGCGCCAAAACAAAAACGCCAATAATGCATATCTAACACACCCGAAGCTTGCAACATCGTATAGGCTACAGAAGCAACATCACTGGTAACCACATCCCCAATCACCATCGGCACCTCCTAATCAGCCCCGCCATCTTTTCTTCTACCGCCTCCTGTACCCCAAAACCTGATATTTTACATTCTCGAGACTTCCTGGGTATCTCAACTTTTCATCCAATCTATTGATTTTCATCTCTTCATTGACAATTTTCTCCCATCTCTGTTCAGGAATCTTTGCTGCTTCTTCCTCGATTGCTTNTTTGCCTTTTCCTTGTGTGTTGATCGGTTCTTGGGGTTTGCCGAGTAGTACGCGAGATAGTAGCCAAGCAACACTGTAATCGGTCACTTCCTCGGAATCAGGGATTGGAGTGGATGTGCTTGCGTCGATGGTGTCGATGACAAGCACCACACTGCCGCTGGGCAACAAGGAATCCAGTTTGTAGAGGAAAGCTGTGGTTTTGGGGATGGAGGTGTTGTAGAGGTTTGCCAGGGTTAGGAAGAAAGTGCATAAGATTGGTTGTTCTCCAATCATTTCTTTGACTTGGGGCGTTTTGAGACTGAAGATGTCGTGGTGGGCAAAGTTTAGGGAGAGGGTTGATGGTGCGAGGAGAGCTGTGTTTGCTGCTCTGGCAGATGCGGATGCATATTTTGAAAGTGGTGGTGGGGTTGTTGTTGCCCTGACTAGTTTGTCGAGTACAAAAGACCAGTCTGCAGAGTCGACGAGTGTAAGATCCAGTAACGAAGTGGTGTTTTCCGGAACAGAATCAGGAGTCAAAGCATCGAGTTCTTGCTGCTGTTTGCCAGAAGCCGTAGGTTGTAAATGTCGAAGCAATGCCGCGAATGCCATGACCTCTGCAGCATCTCCACCAAAACAGATGGCTTTTGTCGTGTTGCTTGATGAGCTGTTGGATATGCGAGAAACCCAGTCGTCTTCAGACCTCTCCTCGCATAACTCAGCCAACACATTCGCATATGCCAGCGCTCGGCTGGGACTCCACCTCACCGCATACGCCTCCCTCTTCTCCTCTGTCCCCAACGCCGTCTCCCACTCCCCTTCCAAAACAGCCTCATTAACTTCCCTCAACAACCCCTTCATCTCCTCAAAATCCATCAATTTTTCCCCAAACGCATCTTTGAAAATGTTCAACATCAATTGTTGCAATTCCACAGGCAAAAATTGATCTTGAGCCAAAGGCTGGGATTTGGGAGCATCCAAATGAGGTTTCGGCTTCGCTTTTTTGGTGTAGCCACTTCCTCGCCATTCGGGTTTTGCGATTGGTGGAGGACGGGAGGGAGCTTTGGAGGTGCCGCTGCTGAGGATGGGGCCGTGTTTTCGTTGCGATTGGGCTTTTCTGTCGTATTGGCCCATGGTTGTGTTTGATCTTGTTGTTATGTTGTTGATGTTACTCTAGTAAATTGATTGTTATGTCCTGTGATTGGATGTTTTGCTAACAGTCGATGATTGTTGGTGATGGGAGAAGTGTTGGTTTGGAACATCGGGAAATTTTCGTCGCGAACATTTTGGGGTTGCGAGGGTACGGAGATAACACGGGAATGACAATCATCTGAGGTGTGACCCTGTATTGCTTGTTCACTTCCATGTTGAATACTCGACAGACACCAGTATTTAGCTTTCACGAGTCGAGTACGACGTTGACCATTCGGTCTTGTCATCATAGTCTGTACGTGTTGTCCTCCGAGAAAAGTACCATCACACCGACTGTTATCTCAGAAGGATGAAGCGAAGTATGCAAACATGAGTCAGTCACAAGGATGGTACATACATCGAACATGATCAGTTGTTTAGGCATGTCACCCGATTGTAAGATACATGACTGTCTCCAACCGACATAGCAAAAGCAAGAATCACTAACGAGATGCCCTGACGTTGAAGCCGCATGTGCTATCCCTATCTATAGTTGATGATATAAGAAAGAAAAAAAGAAAGGGGGTATCTCTGAACCAAAATGCAATGCTTGCGATACTTGCCGTATCATGTATCATCTCAGCTCTTCGTCTAATAAGGGCTTGAGTGCTTCGTTGTCCACTAGTGCCTGCATCCATGCCTTGACGAACGAGCCATAGTCGTGTCTGCGGTGCATGGACTCTTCTGCATCCATCATCTCTGCCTGTTGCGCGTCGCGTACCTGTGCTCGACAACCAGCCTGATTGGTCATGAGTTCTTGTAGTACCTTCAAGAGGCTGTCTGGGCAGCTGGATCTGAGCTGCTGTGCCACTTTGTCATGTATAACAGCCTTGGCAATCATCTCGTTGGTCAACCCATACTCTTCACTTTCGTCAAACAAAGTAGCCTCTTCAAGGTCTGGGGAAGTGTAGCTGCCCCAATCCTGAAATACTTCGTTGAGTCGAAGTTCAAGCTTCTGTAGTGACAGGACGTTCTGAGCAAGAACGCGACGATCTTCAATGACCGAATCTTGTACCACAGCCATCAAGCTGAACTGAATTTGACCTTCCTCGTACTGAGCCATGCGAACGCTGAGTGATGTCTGAACGACGTCTAACCAGTCTCGACCAAATGGAATCTTCCCGATAGTTGTCGGGAAGGAGTCAAGACCATCGAGCTTCCAGACATCTTCACCAATTGGCATATAGGCAACAAAATGGAAGCCTGTTTCTTCGGACTGTTCCTCTTCTTCTTCTGCGACCACCAATTTGCTAGCTCTGGCTCTGCGTGAGGGGTTAGACCTTACTGTCGGTGTATTCGGTTCTGTTTTGGCAGCTTTTTCAGCAGCTTTCTCTGCAGCCCTTTCGGCTGCTTTGGCCACTCTCGCGGCAGTTGCGGCTTCGGTCTTTTGCTTTTTCATCAATCTGTCGTTACGGTCGTGCATTGCAGAGTCGACGATTAGCATGTCAGTATCCCGCGCAAACGAGTTGTGTATCTTGCGAACAAAATCAAAGCTGTCGATGGCATAACCTCTTGCGACAGGATCAAATGATTGCGTGTAGTTTTTGAAAGACTCCAGTGGTTGACCAAGTTCCAGGTTTGGAATGTTGTTGACGATGTTGAGCAAAGCCACTGTTCCACAAGCATATTGAGGAATNNCTTGATGTGTTAGAGTCAGAAAAGAAGCACAGGAGTAATAGCTTACTTGGTTGGCGAACCAGACGTGAGGTGGACACGACTTTTCTTGGCTCTGCTCAGCAGTTCCGTCCTCCTGATATTTGAACAAGAAGATGACTGCGTGTACTGGTTTCGGCAAAATGGCAAGAGCATCGTCGTCAACACCAAAAACCTCGAGGACTCTGAGATGGCGAACACCTATGTCTTTGAGTATTGTGGTAAAGAAAGCNNCTACTAAATGTTAGCTTTGTGAGATCGTCCGAGGCGCAAGATGCCAACAAACTGGCTCAGATTCAATCTCACACCAGCCTGGCCACGAGTCTCGATTGGGCGTGGTTGGCTCAGGAGGGGGAGAGCTTTGTGGTGTAGCTGATTCATTTGTGCGCCTCTTCTTCTTAGGTGGCATGACGGCGAGGTGGTTGACTCAGAGAAGGAATTGGCGACTTCTCGAAGATTGTCACGGCATTGTAGCTTCATGAGTTCGAGACACGAGTGAAAGTGTAGCTGAGGCATCATTGGAGTAGGACAGGGTGACGACGCGTTTCGGTCGCGCTTGGTTGCGCCAAGAGTGTGACGAGCTTGATTGTTTTGTACATGTTTTAGAAACCAACGCAAGAGGAATCGTCTCCATTCTTACCCTCGACAGACGAAGATCCGCAGCATGCGATGAACGGCACACCTCGTCTTCGCTCCGGCGCCTTCCCCTCGACGCCGCAGTCGACACGGCGCAACAACCTCACGCCTCAGAAGCTCCCCGACATTACCCAGCTACGGCCCGCTGCTACGCGACAAGCACAAGACAATGACGGCCCATTGATCCCCGTCGACACTCTGGATGCGCCGACGCAGCGTCTCTATGTCGTCGGCTTCTATCTGGCCTTGGTGGGCTGGAAGATGTACGACCACTTTTACCTGAAAGAGGAGGAAACAGAATCGCTATGGCTGTTTATGAAATGGGTCGCCTTCGATGGCATTTTCCTGTTCGGTCTGCCCGAGTTGCGCATCCCCTGGCTCGAGTGGTCTTCGGCGACCATGCTGCTTCTCTTCCTGGCTCACGCTGCACTGGACGCCGTCCTCATGTTCCGCATCCAGCTGCCTGTGGGCGCTGGTCTGGCCGTTGTTGGTAAAATCTTCTACGATCGCGAGCTGGGCGTCTCAGGCCATCACGTCAAACAGTCCAGCATTCTTCACAACTCGTCCTTGATTCTGGGGAAGCAAATCATCCATATCCTGCCCGAGGGCTCTGCCATCCTGAACCCTGCCAAAACCTCCTTCTGCCTCGACTCGTCGAGCCCACATGTCTACCTCCCCATTCAGATCAACCAGACCACGCCTGTCAGCATTGATTTGCTGCGCTACGAGTTCGACGGTGCAACAAACGAGACCATCCACATCTCGGGCAAAGAAATAAAGAAGTTGATGAAGGAGGCAGCTAGACAAGCCGCACACCCTCCTTCAAACCAGCCCTTGCTGTTGCGATACCCAACCAAGAAGACTGGCAGATATATCCTGGCCAAAGTCATGGACGAGTCCAAGCTGGAAGTCCAAAGAAAGCGCGTCGGCGACACCATCGTCGTGTCCTGTCCTCAGGCCATCATCAAGTCCACCACCCCTGACGCCTGCAAGGGCGATCTTTCGGGCATTGATCTTCAAGTCACCGGAACTCCTCCTTTGCGCATCAAGTACAGAAAGATTACCAACCAGAGAGAGCAGGAGGCTCATTTCCAAAGCATCCAACCCGACGACTTTGTTTCTCCTCTTATTCAGCAATCTTCTGATGCCCTGGCTATCAGAAACACCAAGGACATATCTTGGGCACGTGCTCAGACGGTCACTGTGCCTCTCAGAGAGCACATGGGAGAAAGCGGGAAATGGGTTTACTCCATGGACGAGGTCGAGGATGCTTTTGGCAACATCGTCTCTTACACCGAACGCCAGCATGACGACCAAGACAGACCTTCCACAAAGGCAGCACATCTTCACCAGGTCGTGACTGTTCATGAACGCCCAATCATTGTCATGACAGGCTGCGATTCTCAACATCCCCTGAAAGTCGCCAAAGCTCAATCCACCCCGCTGCCTGTCCTGTATGGTTCTACTGCAGGCAAGGGCAACGGAAATTTCCTCGGCACTCCTTACAACATTGAATACAAGTTCACCCCTGAAGGCCAACTTCTGTCCAATGGTGACCACAGCGAATCGGCTCAAATCAAGTCCATCTCGATCAAGAATCAATCCCAGAGACCTACTGTCCAAGACGCTGGTTTGTACACACTCCATAGTGTGTCCACCGGGATCTGTGCAGGTGAAGTTTTGGAGCCCGCATCTTGTCTGCTGCAGAACCCTGCAGAGCCCAGTCTTCGCATCGAGAAAGAGGAAATCTTTGACAAATGCGCCAATAAGCCTATTGGCCTGCGTGTGGACTTCCACCTCACGGGAACGCCTCCGTTCAACATCCAGTATCATATCACCAAGAAGGATAGTCCCCATCATGTGACACATACTGAGAGAGTCAACGGCCTGCGTGGACAGATTGAACTGACTCCACCTACTGCTGGTCACTACACCTACCGTTTCTCTGAGATCAGCGATGACGTTTACAAGGGGCATGAGCTCAAGGGAGAAAACATGGTCATTGAGCAGGACGTCAAACCCTCGGCTTCTGCGAACTTCAAGGAGTCGTCACCTTATCGTAAGGTCTGCATTGACCAGGCAGTTTCTTTCGATGTCGACCTTCGTGGACAAGGGCCATTCACTCTCGAGTACGAACTCGTTCGTGGTAGTAGCAGAAAACGCCATACTCAAAAGGACATTGAAGGCTATCAGTTCACCATCAAAACAGACCCTCTGACCAAAGGCGGAGACTACACGCTTGCCCTGGCTAGTGTTACCGACATAATGGGCTGCAAAGAGTTCTTGAAGCAGGAGGCCAAGATCAACGTTCGTCACCAGAGACCCAAGGTCTCATTCGGACAGATCGAAGGTTCGCGTGCTATCAAGACCCTGCAAGGCAAGACTATGAAACTGCCTCTCAAGCTTACAGGAGAAGCGCCATGGACTGTTCGTTACCGCAACCTTCGCGATCCAGAGCACTCGCACAAGATCAAGGTGGATAGTCCTAACGGTCTCTTTGGTACTTCCGAAGAAGGCACGTACGAGCTTCTCGAAGTCAATGATGCAATCTGTCCTGGTGCTGTCGACGAAAACGCCAAGAAGTTCAGCATTGATTGGATCGAGCGCCCGCATCTGAGAATCCCTGAAACTTCGTATGACAGAGTTGAAGGTGGCAAGTACGTCAAGAATGATGTCTGCGAGGGCGAAGATGACTTGGTCAACGTGCACTTCTCTGGTGCTCCGCCGTTCCAATACAAGTACGATGAGAACATCATAAACGAACGCGGTGCAAGGTCAAAGCGCAGCAAGGCTGTGACTGCTGCTCTTGGTGTCTCGTCTATCAACCTTGACACTTCCCAAGCCGGTGTGATCGATTACGTCTTCACTGAGCTTGCCGATGACAACTACGATCACAGCTCCAAGCATTTCACTCCAGTCACTATTCAGCAGCGTGTCAACGCTCGTCCTTCTGCCCGTTTCACCAATCCTGGCAGGACATACAGCTACTGCTCTGTCGAATCTGCTGGTGAGGAAGTCATTCCTATCACTCTGGAAGGACAGCCTCCATTCGCCATTGACGTTGAGATCAAACATCACGGTTCTGCTCGTCCTGAAATCTTCTACGTCAAGGACATCACCAAGAACACGCATGAGCTTCGCGTTCCCCATCAATCTTTGCATCTGGGCAACTCCGCTGTATCTATTCGCAGAGTGACTGATAGCCGTGGCTGCAGCAGCATTCTCGACGCCACTTCCCCCAGAGTCCAGATTGCTGTCCACGATGCTCCTACAATTCGTCCTCTGGAGAATCAGGAAGATTTCTGTGTTGGTGATCGCATATCATTCGCACTCTCCGGCCAGGCTCCCTTCCAAGTCTACTACGAGTTCAACGGTGTCGCTCGCAAAGCCAGCTCCGGTTCAACAACTTTCAAGCGTCTGGCAGAGAAGCCTGGTACTTTCGTCATCACTGGCGTCAGCGACTCTGGCTCTTCATGCCGCGCCTCCACCAACATCGAGAANAAAATTCACGGCATGCCTTCCGTGCGCGTGGGCAAGGGTGTCGAATCACAAGTCGACATCCACGAAGGCGGAGAAGCTGAAATCACTTTTGACTTTGGCGGCACACCACCTTTCGAGTTTACCTGGACACGCAGTACCAATGCTCGTCGTGGCCAGAGATCTGAGGTGCTTGAGATGAGAAGCGAACTTTCCCAGGACCACCACATGGCTATCCGGGCGAGTGAGGAGGGTACTTATGAAGTTGTATCCATCAAAGATAGGTATTGTGCCTATGCCAAAGAGGGCATTGATTTGACGAAGAAGAAGGGCAAGTTGCTCACATATTAAGCGGTTTTGTTTTGGCTTCTTTTGGGCGACTTCATTCTTCATGTATAGTATATACCTTTGTTCCTTCATCTGCGACTTCTCTTTTTGGCGAGTACAATCAAAATAACGACATGTTTCATCAACCACTCCAAAAATGCAGCCAACAAGACCAATGCATTGATTTGACTCAAAGGACTTGAACAAGACCTCGATCCTCGAGTCTTTCGACAAAACTCTATCTTCCTCCTTATCACTTTCAGCCGGCAAATCACGTAATCCACCACAAAGCTGGTGCACACCACCACTTTCTCAACCGACTCTCCCCCTTCTGACAATTCACTGCACATCCCTGTGTAGCTCACAAACAGGGAATCCTTGTCTGTGCAGTCAGGTTTCTCCATCTCTACTGCAGTGTTTGTAACCTGCAGTGTCCAGTGTCCAGCAACAAAATGACCCTGCATATTCCTTTGGTTGCAAGACACTCAAGATCTTATGGATTAATTCTATGGGGAAAAGGTTGCTTAGGAGATCTGTAGTTGCAGTGGATGAAAGGACTTTGTTGGAGAAATGGTGGGCGTGAAAGGCGAGAAAGGTTTTCCTTGTTTAAATCTAGACAGCGCTCGGAAATAGGGGTCATAAAAGGCTTTCTTTGATGTCTTTTGGAGCTTGGGAGATCAAGTCGAAATTGCATGGGGCTGTGACTTGGTGTGTTAGATACGGAGGTATATATGTAGTGGTTGGTGCTTGGAGTGTAGTAGTTGGCACGTGTAGTGTAGTGGCTCAAGGTAGAATCGGACGTGTTGTGTAAGAAGGTGGAGCAGAGAGTGTTGTGTCAAGTCCGGGTCGGAGCTTCATTGTTTGACAGTAGTGGTGTTTGTGTATGATAGTTGCCAGATGTTGATGGAAGCTCTTTGGCAATGTATATTCGTGTATAGTTGCTGTGCCGCCCAAGGTCCGTAGTCTATTTGGCACCATGTTTTGGAGAGATGCATATCTTGGTTATGGGTATGACAGCCATGCTGCTGCCAGGAATCTCAATCCAAGCAAGAACAGCGTAAGACGTGGCTTCCTTTCTAGGGGTTCTGGATATTTTATGCGGTCTCAGTGCTACATTTGATTGAGAGCCCCGGATGCAGACAGATCAGGCGTTCCTTCCCTCTGCTTGCAATCAGTCTTGTTCCTTTGTTGCCTGCTGCAGACAGATTGCGGGGACTTCACAGTAAGTCAAGAGCCAGGTGCAGCAGCATCCCGGTCGTTCCTTCTTTCGACCTAGCCAGTGTGGTTTACAAAAGCGAGAGTAGCATGGACGTACTCCACATCTTTGGAGTCAATCTAGAATGTCCGGAACTACGGGTGAACTCGTACACTGCGACTCGGGCAAACATTGTGACAAGAACACACGATGCGCCTCAATTCGTGTTGGACAGGTTGAGCGAGATGTTCTCACTTCCTTGCATCAGACTTTCAAAGAATGCTGTGTCCATCCCCAGAACAGACCAATCATCAAAGGTAATGTCCGATAGATTCTGGTCTGGTTGCATGAGGGAATCGTGCTGCTGTTGTTGTAGTGATTCCGAAACTCTTGGGCAACTTGCATTGTCCGCGGTAGTGAGGTTACTCGAACTTGGTGTGTTGACACGAATTGATCCAATCCCACCAATGTTGATGGCTCCTGAGAGACCTTGGTTCTGGTTCCTAGAAGGAGTAACAGCTGCAATGCCTCCTCGTGATATCCTCATACCACTGAAGAAAGGTGCTCCTATGATCAACATATCGCTGCCATCCTCGGTCTCGGCCCCATCCTGGCTCTGTTTTCGGGCAGCGCCCTCTTCGATCACTAGCAAATCTTTGAGCATAGAAGCGCACCTTACTGCAAGCTGGTCCTTTTGAAGCTCAGAGATGAAAGTCATGCAGTCTAGAGCTCTCTGCACCATGGCTCGGTCGCCTAGCCGCTGATGTGCTAGTACGTTTCCTTCAGAATTGTGACAGTGACTTGTAGCGTGTGCTAGCATCAACGTCATACCAGCTATCAGCGCCATGAAGTCGTTCATACGACAACAAGCTGTGACGAGGTTGAAACTGCGCAACGCAATCTGCCGCGTCAAGATCTCGCGGCTAGCGTTCACACAAGCCATCTTTGAGTACATCCTCTGCGTGGTGTGACTTGGGCACAGCATATGAGGCATATGGAGCTGGATGATCAAGGTATAATAAGAGCTGTGATCGAAGACACGTCTGATCTCGTTGAAGGCTTGCAGAGAATCTTGCGTAAGTCCTGAAAACTCTGGTGGCCGCCAGAATGTTGGTGACAAGTTTTCGGCGACTCTGAGGAGTTCATCGTCTATGCTCTTTGTGATATTCAAAGCTTGTTGGGGTAGTTCAATCTGATTTCGCTGGAGTATCTTCCCAGCTACATTTCCGAGATTGGTGAGCAGACTGGAGTCGTCGGTAGCGTTGACTTCATCTTCCTGTCGGGCCAGGGCCATATTATCTGTGCTAGTAGGCAGTCCAGATAGCAAAGAGACGACACGCTCCATGTACACAATACTGCTCCAGATGGTTTCAGGATCGATATCATGGCGATCGCCAATGATCTTGTATCGATAATGGCCACGTCGGTGCAGACCTAGCAGCTGTGCAGCCATGACAGCGCGGCGCAGAGTCACCCAAGCCTGCCGAATATCACCAGAGTCTGTGTGGTAAAAAGCTTCTAGGATGATATTTTCTAACCCTTCCAGCGACCCTAATAGTGAATCGTTCGTGGTCACTTTACTGATTGCTGCTTTGGCGAGTTCTTCCATGATCTGGTGATGATGCTTACTAAGACCAGGGATCTGTTCTGTCGGAGGTACATATCGCAGAGCTGTTGCGAATAGTAACATTTGTTTTGCCAACAGCACCGGATTTGACTGTATAGAAATGAGGTCCGGTTTCGAAGGGTCTCCAGCAGGCCTTTCATGAAGCGTAGAAAGAGGAGCTTTGTAGTCGAACTGGTAACACGTTGAAGAGATGCCGTTGACTCTTTCCTGGAGAATTTCAATGTCTGTTCGAATAGGGAAGCAGCGAAGAAGTTCTGGCGTGATTGCCGAACTTGATTGCATTTCCGTAGGTGAAACACCGTTCGAACTCGGAGTCGGTGGCATACGCTCTATTGTCTGTTTTTGAGATTAGTATGAACACAATTCCAAGTATGCCTCTCCCAACTCGAGTCAGTGCGAATAAGAGCCAGAAGTGTGTTCGAGAGCCGCTGAGAAAAGGACACCAACTGGAGCGGCTTCCTTCTCGCAATCATGGTATATCTTTACAGCCAATACGGCACAAACGTGTTGATCCATGGGGTAAAAGAAGAAGAATGTTGTTCACCGACCTCTGCGCTGCCGTGAAANCGCCAATGTTGGCGTTGCCACTTGCAAATTTACATCCTCTTCAGTGCCTCCAATCAACTGATCTCTCAGTTCTCCATACCCTCTATCCTGGAAATCGTTGGTCGAGAAGTCAACAGCTGCTTGGCTAGTACAAGTCGAATCGCGGCGCTGACATGGAATGCACCTGGCATCAGTTGGCGACGCGAGAATGCACTTTACTTTCCTCCGTCGGCATTCTCGGCAGCTATGCGTTCCTTTTCTGACCTTGCCTTGCTTCGGCATATTAAGACGTCATTCAACGTGACCTTCGTTGGAGAAGAGAAATCGCTACCACAAAGCAAACATAGGTCTGCTACATCGCTGCTTGCAGACCTGAAAGGCGCTGCCTGCCTCGGACGAATCTCATGACTTCGGACGAATTCTCTTGGCGCACAGTATCGATATCGTTGTCAACACGAAGACAACAAGCCGACAACAACTCTCAACGGATGAAAACATTAGCTGTATACTCAGGTACTCGACCATTTTCATATTTACCTCTGTCTATGTGAATCAGTAAGAATTGACGACGAAATACGACATGCTCTGTCCTCTGAAGGAAGTCGAATTCAGTTCACCTACCGATTGTTTCGATGAGGATTATGGTCAAGCACCCACTCCAGCGACCTTCGGACGAAGCATCGGACATGCACATGCACATGCAGTATCTCAAACAAAACACTCGGTCGGTCATCTTGTTCATCCGTGGCCGAACTTCTTGTGTATAAGTATTTAGCTTTGCCTCTATTGCCTGTGCAGCCTACTTAGTAGCGAACCAATTCGAGGCCACTCAACAGGCAGACCGTACTAAATTATAGCGACCTCTGCACAGTACTCGGATCCGAAGCAAGACATGTCCGAGCTCAAGGGAGACTCAACTGAGGTTGTCAAGCCCGAGGAAGATGAGCTCATTCAAGATGACTATTTGCATGGCACCCGCTTGATAGCACTGACAGTATCGCTTCTGTTGGGAATGTTCTTGGTTGCACTTGATAATGTTCGTATACGAAATTGGTCCAGGAAGACAAGAGAGCTGACTGATGCCGTCTAGACTATCATTGGCACTGCGATTCCTAAGATCACAGACGAATTCCATGATTTGAACAAAGTCTCTTGGTATGGCTCTGCGTACTTTATGACTTTTGGTNNGGTTGTAAGTTCTTCCGATGATACTACAAATCCATATCGCTGATCAGAATAGAGTGCAATATTCAGACTTGTGAACTGAGTTGGAACCCTACTGATGAATCCAGGCTTCCAATCAACATGGGGAAAGGTTTTCAAATACTTTCCACTCAAGCTTTGGTTCCTCATCGCCTTGTTGATTTTCGAAGTTGGAAGTCTAGTCTGCGGAGTGGCACAAGATCCAACAACTTTGATTGTAGGTCGGGCAATTGCCGGTCTTGGTGGTTCCGGTGTTGCTGTCGGCGTGTTCACAATGCTCGGCTTGGCTGCCTCGCCTGAGAAGCGTCCGCAACTCCTAGGGTTCACTGGAGCAGCCTATGGTATTGCTGCAGTCTTGGGACCCCTTATTGGCGGTGCTTTCACTGACNNAAAGTGACATGGCGTTGGGTACGACGGCAAGATACACTCAATTGATCAGACACTGACAATGTTGCAGTGCTTCTATATCAACCTACCAGTTGGAGGAGTGTCAGCTATCATCATCTTTTTCTTCTTCAAGCCACCAAACAGTGCCAAACCTGCGCAGGCGCCATTGAAAGAGAAACTGCTACAGATGGACTTTGTCGGCGCCACCCTTATGATCGGCTTGATCATCTCATTCATACTGGCATTGCAATACGGCGGACAAACACACTCATGGAAGAGCAGTCAAGTTATCGGATTGTTGGTTGGCTTCGTCGTTCTCGCTGCAGTCTTTGTGCTTTGGGAGATATACCAAAAGGAACGCGCCATGATCGTTCCTCGGCTGGTATGCGACATAAAGTTCAGCATGTTTACTCAAGCTGACTATATCGCANNGTTTCTTGAGCGCTATGTATGGGTAGGCTCTGTGTTCATGTTCTTCTTCGGTGGCGCATACTTTGTTCTCCTATACTACCTTCCGATCTACTTCCAGAGCATTCACGAGGCTAGTCCTATCGGGTCCGGTGTCAGAATGCTCGCGTTGATCATTCCCTTGACCATCACTGCCATCGTTCAAGGCTTTGCACTATCCAAGATTGGCATCGTGCCTGCGTTCTGGATCTTGGGAGGTGCATTGGCAACTGTTGGCTGTGGACTCATCTACACAATGGACGCCAACACTTCTACTGGTAAATGGATCGGCTATCAGATTTTGGTCGGCTTCTCTACTGGTCTGACCTTCCAGGTCGCTATTGCAAATGCACAAGTTCACGCTAAGTTCGAGGACTTGTCCCAGGTCAGCGCCATCATCAACTGTAAGTCGATCTCCAGCCATGTGTTTACCTTATCTAACCCCTGTCACNNAGTCTTCGTCACAATCGGTGGGGCTTTCTTCATCTCTGCTGTCCAGTGCGCATTCAACAACCAGGTCATCAAAGAGCTCATGGCGAATCTTCCTGGTATCGATCCATCGATTGTTCTCGGAATCGGAGCAACGCAAATTCGTCAAGAATTTACGAGCTCGCAGGTACCGATTGTTCTTGATGCTTATATGGTTGGCTTGAAGGCCGTTTTTGCTATCACTACAGCGGCTTATGGTATCTCCACCATTGTAGGCTTATTTGGCAGCTGGAAGAGGCTCAACGAGGAAGAGATCAAGCAGGCTGCTGGTGGTGCAGCTTGAGGAGTTGTCTGCAACTGTCTCTTTATAGAAATTATGGCTGCTCTAGGTGGGGATAGTGCCAGGTAAAGTCGAATTAGCCAACACACTTACCTGATGTTTATTTGTGATTGGTCCACTAGCCTCTAACCTTACGTTCTTGCATTACCAGTGATAGATATATCGAGGACAACTAGAATCGCATCTCATCTCATCCGTTACGATGATCACAAGATGCTTGTATCGTGAACTATCAACATACTCAGCAATCTGCCTTTCTCGCCACTACCATCCAAGCCTCCATTTTGATGCCATCATAGTTTGCTTTTTCCTCTTCAATGGCGGCATCGATAGCGGCAGGCCACTTGGCCACCTCTTCTTCTGTCCAACCGCTTCTCGCAGATGTTGTGAAATTGCCACACATGAACTCGCGAAGGCCCTCAATCGCTTCGTCAGTGATGATGGTCGTCTCCACATATTGGTCGGCCTTGTCAAAGCCTGCTTCCAACATCATATCTCTCAGCACTCCATCATCCAAAAACTCCGCTCGCGGCATATTGAACAGCCTGGAGTCTGGTCGGATGCTGGTTTGAGCCTTCTGGATGATGTCTTTTACGGTAAAACGCTTCCACTGCGAGTTGATACAGACTCCGCCTGGTCGCAAAGTGCGAAGTGTCTCCTGCATACATTTCAATGGGTCTTTGAAGGTCGACGTACTGATGTTGCAGATAGTGAGTGTGAAAGTATTATCTGGCAACGCGAGTTCATGAGAGTCCATAACAGAGGCTGTGATGTTTCGCCATTGCTCTTGGTCAATTTTTGATTGGATGTTGTCGATCATGCCTGGAGTACAGTCTGTCACTACAATTTTGGCTGGCTCTTGTTTGAGGATCGACATGGCAGCAATAGTGGCTGTACCCGGTCCTGCAGCATTGTCGTGTATGATTGACTGCTCGTTCAAGGTTACGTCTGCTGGAAGATGCTGCAAGAACGAGTATATCAGGTTGAATGTAGAGTCGCCAGTCTGCCTTGAGTATGCAGTCGACAGTTTCCTGAAATACTCTGGGAAGCTCGAGCTTGGGTGGTGTGCCATCATACTTGGTTAGTTATTTATTGAAAACTGATGAGTTGGAAGTGAGGTGCCCGAGAGGAGTTGCTGTGATGTAAGCTGGGGCACACCACGAAGCCACAACCGAGGTGCGAAGATCCTCCGGGCGCTTGAGTAGCCACACTCGTTGGCTCATTGTTCTGTGAGCTTGCTTTTATTCCAACTGTAAATGGCGCCTATCGACATGTTTCCAATCGCAAGCTCTTCTCTGCAACCATACCTACTTTGACATTCCGCTTGAGGTCATTGCAACCAATGTCTGATGGTAGCGATCTCTGTGCACACCTAGCAATATGAAGACCATCCTTGAGATCGAAAGCGACCACTTGCATGGGGCTGGAAGGATTAGTTCCAGCACCTGTGCCTAAGACATCCTGGGCATCCTTCTGACCATATTGACTTGCAGCATCTGACTAAGCTTGGGTGCATTGTATAAATAGGCATCGCCTGCTACTTTTTAGGAAATATCAATCCTTAACGGCAACTCTACTTTGCAGACGAAGAACATGGCACGTCCGGCTATAACCCTGTTCGTTGTGGTTACGGTGAAGACAGGCAAGGAAAATCGGGTGAGACTATACGCAGACTCGTGGTGACGCGAACCCAGGACAAGGATAGCAGGGGGCTTCGCAATAGCGTCGTGGCTGATTGACTCGATCTAAAACTGACAAACATCATGTGTAAACAGTGTGAAGAGCTCTGGCGAACAGCTGTCGATTATCTCGAAGCAAACTGGAAAGACAACGTTACCTTCCGCGTGTTGCAACAGCCAGGCACGACGCCTAGCAAGTACGTGTTTATTGAAGAGTAAGTTTCTATGCCTTGATTTTCTTGGTTCGCATCTGGTGACTGGAGGGCTCCTCGCTCATAGCCAAATCTGTGCTGACCATATGATCAGTTTCTCATCAGAGAAAATCCGCGACGAGTGGATGGTTGATCCATGGCATGTTGCGTTTAACAAGCAAATGAGGACAGAGGAGCTGGTTGAGGAGAAGATTGATGTCGAGAACGGAGAGTTGAGGTGGTTGAAAGAGCTCTAGATGAATTGTTCTCGTAAACCCTATGCCTGAGTTTGACAGAATATTCAAGGGGGGTTCAAGAGTTGCTCGCAGGAGTCTGGCGATGCTTGTGGTAAACAGTCAAGGTCTGACACTATAAAAACTCGCCCTTGAAGAAGATCAACCCAAAACTATGGTACCGTTGCAGAAATTGACCACATACAATAGCCTGGGAAAGTATTGTCGGTAGTCTGAATCTACGGTGATTCTCTAGTTGTAGAAGTGCTCAGGACGGATGACAGGTGATTATCTTCTGCAAAACTCGTTGTCGACTGCGCGGAGCATTTGCTCACGCTGGCTTTGTGGATAGATCATCTCGAGGCTGTAGACAGATGGTTCAATGTGAAGGAAGAGAAGGATGTATGCAGCCTATTATCTATATGTCGGTATGGTGCGTCGGGCTAAACCTTTCTCAGCTCGACATCCTCTTCTGACTCTCTGGCTTCCATCTCGTTCAACTTCTCGTACATGCCTCTGTTGTCCACCTTTTCAGCACGTTGCTTGACTCTATCCTTGCCCCAGGCATACACTGCACTACCTCCCAAGATGCAGACCATAGCCCAGACTCTGCCCATAGTGACAGCTTCACGAAGAATCAGCACCGCGAGAGCACTTTGAGCGACTCCGCGCGCGGCTGTGACGATCATGTGTGTTGTCGGGCTGGTGACTGAGATTTGCAAAAAGGTGGCCAGAGTCAAGAGGAAACTTGCACCACCTGTAGCAACAGCGGTGTACAAGAAGGCGTGGAGCTGAGTTGAGGCATCGGCAGCAGCGGCGGCGTTGGCGACATCCAGGTCCATAGCGCTATTGTAGAGTCCAGAGAATACTGTGTACTCCCCGGAGATGATGAAGAGAGGAAAGTAGCAGGCCAGAGCCATGCAATTTGTCATCCACACCATCTGCCACATTCCCTCGTCTCCTTTTGTGAGGAAGCGCTTGACTACAACACTCTCTACAGCAGTGGTGAAGCTAGAGCCCACGCCCAGCAGGAGGCCCTTGATGCTCGTGAGCATGGCGCCCAAGTCTGTAATCATTCCGGTGGCGAAGCCCATCATAATCATGCCACATCCGAAGAGAGAAAGAGGCGGGTTGTATGGCGGCGGGTGGAGAAAGAAGTGCGACAGGAGCAGGGTAAAAGGTAGAAGTAGGCCTCGTGCAATCTGGTATAAGGAGGCGTCGACGCTAGCTAAGCAGAAGGTCTTTGCTAAGATTCCAACTAGACGTGCGAGCATCAAGGGTATTAGTCCCTTCCAGGCNNCTGCGTGTTGTTAGTAAAGGTCTACTGCATAGAGTGGATAGCAATAGCTTACGGAAAGTGGACGACTGAACTTGATCCATCCAAGTGGCTTGCCAACAAGCGTCAGGAGTACCACTTGCACGAATGTTTGCAGTGCAAGCAGAGTAACAGGTGCCTCAATGCCATTGAGAGCAGACTTGGAGATCAAAGTCACCGAGACAGCGCAGCTTGAATGGAACAACACTGTCAAGGCGACCTTTGTTCGTGATGGGGACGATGATTCAGACATCTTTGCGATTGATGGATTCACTGGACAGGCTTCTGAGGTGCCGAGGGGAACATTCTCTTTTACTTACCAACTCGGTCCCACCCATGTCATTCGGCTCCGGTATTCATTTCTCCTTTATCAACACATATGATGACAGGCGAGCTGATCAAGAAGCAACCGGTAGACTAAGTTGAAGAGGATTGCGGCAAACCGAGACCGGGCATAGGAAAGGTACGTTCACGGCACACAGATCCAATGGCAGCCGAGACTGTCATTAGCAGGGTATCATCGGGTGCTTCTCAGCATGCACCAGAGCACATCAGGGGAGTGAAGACGTTCGACTTCCAAGCAAAACTAGAGAGGGCCGTTGGCTGGATATGCCCAGGTCCGACTTGGCAGGCACCGACTGAACAAGGGTTTGAGATTCGAGAATCGATTTTCCTTTGTTTTCCGCTTACGCGGAAGAATTTTTGCTGAAACAAGAGTCTCCTTTGCGCCTGCGGCATGGCAGACGTTGGAGGTAGGATCAAATGCGGCGCCGGCCACACGAAAGGGCATCGGGAATCTTTGTTTAGCAAGCCCCTAAAGCGGGCCATGGAGTGTTGAACACTATGCAAACGTTTGGAAAATCGATTCGGGCCATGGTTGATCTACAGGTCTTCTGACTCGGGTTATATCAATAGATTGGTGGCGAAGATGTTGGTTGGATGGTAACAGATTGCGAGAAGAGAGACGACCTGGCGACTCTTCCGATACCAGCTTTGATTTGCTGGCAATGAGCAGACAGAACCCACTTGCTTTCAAGAATCTCACTCATTGATATTCTCAAAGCTGGGCAGGAGGTGCAAAAAGTGCAGGAGCGGAGCGACGTCTGGAGAATTCGGACGTCTTGGCAACGGCGAGGGAGTCTCCTCTGCCGCAGCCACCCGTTTGAGAAGACTTCCACCGCCGTCATTTCGCTCTGCTATCACCTACTTTGTATACTCACACATAATCTCCCCTTCAAATTCCATTCTATTTGTGTCAAACTACTCGGCTGAGGTTCTCCTGTCCCGTCGACCGGAAGTTGACAGCAGACATGTTCGTTTCGTAAAGCCAAGCCTCTCCTATCTCTGCCACAGTGGATCGTCGGCAATAAAAAAGGCACCATGTGCCTGGTGGATATCTATCCATCAACGGCCATGCCCACTACCGTTTCTTGGCTCATCAGTATCCGCCATCCATGGTGATCAGATTGCCCAGCTGCAAACGTCTTCACTCGGCGGCATACCTGTTTCAGCTGTATTGTGTTGTAGAGATTGCTCTTGCTTAGGGGACGGTGAGTCGAAAAGGAGCGTCATGAATGGTAAAAAGCCGTGTTATGAGCAGGTAGGCGGAACATCCATCTCGACTTGATACTCATCTTCCATCAAAGCAAAAATGCCTGCCCCTAGTCGATGCGCTTACATTGCCATAGTGGTGGTTCTATTCCTCTGCTTGATCGCTCTCTTCCAGACTGGCACAGTGTCATCACCTTCTTCATTACATCTCGATGATGTGACAGACTTTGTGTCATCTCCATTCTCATCTTACAAGGATGAGGTCCAAAACAACACCACACAACAAACGCCGTCACCATCATCTTCAACATTGGCAGCTCCTTCGGTAACATCCACCGGTGTGCCAATCTCATACGACAAGACTACACCTCCGTCAACAGGCTGCGAAGCTGTGGTCAACGCTGCTCAACACCGTTTGATATCAGAATACCAACAACTCCTCAAGGGCATCCGCTATGTCAACGTTTGGGGATATCTCGAAACCGAGAACAAGGGTGATGCTGCCATCTGGTCCGCACAACAGATCCTCTTGAGTATGATGGGTATCGAGACCATGGAAGCCTGCCGCTTCATGGATAGAGGCTGCAACATGACCAAGTTCACACAAGCACTCGACAATCACAAGCCCAACTCTGCCATCATCATGGCTGGTGGTGGCAACTTCAACGACTACTACTGGGAGGACCAACCTTCGCGAATGGAGATGATCAAACACTTCACCCAGGTGCCTATCCGTGCTTTCCCTCAGAGCATCCATATGACCCACGACGACCGCATCGACGATACAAAGAAAGCCTTCCTCACGCATCCCAACCTGCAGCTCGCCGCACGCGATGCCCCCAGCTACAAATGGCTGGCAGATACCTTCGAGGGCGAGAAAGTTGCCGCATCATCCACCGACCTCGCCATCACGGACGGCATCGGCAAGGGCGAAGTCAAGACGGTGCTCACTCCTGATATCGCATTCATGTGGGGCGACCGTTCGGACTTCCGCATCAACACACCCAAGGAGTACGACATTCTCATCCTCGCACGCGACGACAAGGAGATTTCGGCCGGAAACTCGAAATCGATTCCCTTCGGCAAGGGCAACCTCGACCTCGGCGGCAGTATCGGTAACGTCAGCTACTGGAAAGTAGACTGGAAGTTCACCCCCACCCCTGAAATTGATGGCGAACACCGCGAGTCGGGAAAGAACCAGCGCGCCTGGGCAAAAGCAACAGAGGGCTTCAGAATGCTTGGAGCTGCAAACTTCGTCATCACTGATCGTTTGCATGGACATATCCTGAGCACTCTGATTGGCACGCCACACGTTGTCATGGACTCAAAGTTGGGCAAGAACATCAACTACCACGACACATGGACGAAAGATTGTGCTTGCACCAGAGTAGCAGATGACATTGATGAGGCACAAGAGTTTGCCAAGATGTTCTTCGAGAAGGAGAAGTCGGAAGGAAGGTGGAATGGTGAACTCGCCCATGGTGCAGAGTCACAAGATGTGGACGCATGATAATACTTTTATATACTCTTTTTAATTCTTCTATGCCTTTTGTTCCAGCCATCAACCAGGATACCCACGAGTCGGAAAAAGACCTCCCGCCTGCATTCTTGTTCAATCATGCTCCGAAATGTTTGCCCAATCTCATGACAATCTCCTTGCTGGTGAATCGATTCTCCAACCCATCGCTCTTGCACGACTGTTGACTCTTTTCAAGCCACTTGGCTCTCTACTTTGCACCTGATCGCACCTGCTCATTTGTCTTCCAGCTAATCTTTTATGCCAAGACATTCCGTGTTGCTTTTTGGGGGTTGCTCCTTCCGCTCCTCACTGCATGTGCACCCCTGAAAGCCTGCGCTTCTTTCTCCGAACCGGTCTTTATTGGCCAAACCCTCCTTTCTTGATAGGAGTTGGGGTCAGGAGTTTGAAACAAAGTACTTTGTATCAAGAGACTAGCCTGTCACAGCAGAAGACTTGAACTCACACAGCGATGTATTGACAGTCTGAAGGACAAAAAGGATTATAAGAGAAATAAATGGTATATACATGAATATGATTTAAGAAAGAGAAGAAATAAGAAGAAAAGAAACATCCTACTCTTCTTCTTCCTCTGATCCACCTCGACAGTACATTTTCGTAATGCCTTCTTCTAACCACTCACCCACTCTTCTGATATTGCCTTGAATGACTTTTTGAGCATTTTGTTTTGCGTGTTTGCTCTTCTCTGCTCTCTCTTCAGCAGAAGCACTTAGCATCCTTCCAATGACATCAAACTCGTTTTCGCCATCTTCTTGCAACCATACAGAGTCTTCCTCTACGTACGCGTAAGCAGCAAGAAGTTTGCGATCAGCAACAAGCGGTGTGCCAGCAATCAACGAAGCAGGAACCGAAGACGAAGCCTTGCGATCCAAGTACTCAGGCGACGCAAATCCAGGCAATACAGCAGAAACCTTGGAAAGCAAGCCATAAAATTCAATGTAGGAAAGTCCTTGGCCGAAGAAAACGTGACTGGCCACGTTCTCAGGGACGGTGGGTCGTTGTCCTTGTCCAACAAGATGCATGGATACATTTCTGTCACCCTCTGCTGCAGCCAAAAAGTTGCCCAGGCGCTCGAAGATGTGCTTGTAGTCTCTGCGGTGAGGATCGTAATCACCTTGCATAGCGAAACTCAAATCTGAACTTTCCGTTGCGGTGACGTTGGGAGCAGCAACAGGGAATACAGGCACGAAGACGCGGATAGGAGGTGAAGGAGGATTATCCCAAGGCTCGTCGGCGTTCGAATCCCAAGCAGCGATGGTGTTGGAAAGGAAAGTAGCTGTATGAGGTGAAAGGGTCCAGAATTCGACCATGTTGGCATCAACCCAGGGTCGAATGTCGGATTTGCGCTGTTCCTCTGCCCAGTGGTCGGCATGGTGGGTAATACAGATCAAGCGAGTTTTTCCCTGAGCGAGCAATGCTTCCAGACGTTTGGGTGCTCCGCGCAATGCCAACTCGCAAGTTGTGAGTACCAAGAAATCGGGGATGGTGGTGTGTTTGTCTGTTCCCATAAAGTGGTCGGGGTTCAGTGGACCCGTATAGTTCAAGCCGAATGCATGGAATATCTTCTCGCTGCCAAAGCGAGGTTCTTATTGATACAGAGTGAGGTTTACGTTGGGCTGAGAGGCGATTGAGTGGACGAGAGCAGCGTCGACTTCATCGTGTGCGCGTACATGCTCGAAGATGGCGACTTGAATGGTTCCGGGTGTGTTATCGCAGGCTTTAGCTTCAGGTGTGGCTTCTACCTCCTCGTCTTCAGGTCTTGTGTTCCAGATACCAGATTCAATCGCTGCATCTGTTGGGTCGGTGGTCTTCCACCATTTCTCGAGTTGCTCTTGTCTGATTGATGCCGTCGTGGAATCAGGAGAGAANNCTATCAAGTGTCAATACTCCTGTATCCATGACCATTGTAGAGAGCTTGGAAAGCAACTTACAGCCAAGAATATGAAAATCATCAGCACAGAGACGATCGAACCAGCGATGATCCTCTGCTTCATTCGCGAGCCTTTAGTTCTCAAAGCACCGAAAGCGTCTCCCAGCCACTCGATCTGGTGATAGCTGGCCTCTTTCTCATAACTCATCCTCTCCATCGCGCTGGTCTTGAAGAACGACAATCCCATGATTCGCTTCTTTCCTATAACCCTTGCTCTTTTATCCAGAATATGTCTCTTAACTTCGAAGCCTAGTAATCGCACACCATCGGCCAGAATCGTGTATACCAGAAGGGAGAATATGAACAAAGAAGCAAGAAAGGAAAGAAAAGCAAAAGACGGTCGACGGTACGACTCTACAATATCTTGGAAGGATGCTCCTTATCGTCCATAGTAGCTAGCAGGCAAGCCTCAGCCGCTGCTCGTATATTGTCACCTACTTGTTTTAGGGCGGCCATCTCATCCGCAAAACCACCAACATCACAACATCATCTTACCCCCTTCGTCCCGCAGAAGATCTGAAATCCCACCATCATCAGTGGCTTATCCACCATGCGTTGGCCTCAAACGTGCGGCTTGATCCAACAGGGAACGAAACATCCCACGGCTCACGCGACAGACATCTCTACAAGCCACGCTCATTTGGCAAAACACCACGGCAGATTCATCTCAAAATGCCCGCCCGTTGCCTGCTGCGCTGGCCGCAGTCCAAAGAGACCAGGGGGTGAGCTTTTCGGCAAACAAAGCCAAAAGGTTGACAGGGGCGGATCGTTGTCAGAGTCCAAAGCTTAAATTTTACCCGTGCTATCGGTCACTCGGAGGTTTGGCGATCCAGATTACTCCCGGCCTGCTATTGCATTATCGCAACGTCTGTAAATCTTCTCTCTTCTTGACAATGACTCGCTTCACTATAAAAACAGTATAAACGCTCATATTACATTAGGGAGGAGCGTCAGAGTCTTGGTATTGTCGCATCAATTTTGTGAGCCAACGGCGCCATGGCAGAAGGCAAAGGCGAAAAGGAAGTTGTTTTGTTGATGCTGATTCAGAGGGGGCTGTGTGTGTTGGAAGCAGAGCAAGCCATCGCCAAAGCCGTCGTCGAATGGCGGAACTTGGAGTGAAGTGGCGGTGATAAGGCAATCCACCAACCCGTCTGCCCTCTGCTTGCCGCAAGCCTGCAACACGCCCGGATGTCATGAACGTCTCGTATCTTTTTCTGGTACTAGGTGCGGCTTCCCGAAGGAGAATTTTATACTCAAAAAGTCATGCAACGATGGATACGAACTTCAATCGTGTCAGCCTGGAGTCGAAGTATGTGGTCAAGGTAGATAATATTTTGTGCAAAGAGCCGCGTCGGCAATGTACATATGCAGCAGTATCGCGCGCAATCTATAAATGTCGCATATCCCATTGTCATCAATCAACAGGACATGAACAACAAGACTGAACAGCAAAGAAAAAAGGAAATCAAGAGGCATTGCATGAGTGTTTTTATACCACTAGTTCCCATATGCATAATCCGGTCCATGTTTGTGTCTTCTTTTTTGGCCATCTTCTGTTTCTCTGTATTTGTTCGTTCGCTATGCTGTTCTCTGACACACTCATGCGGCCGCCATATCGTAAAGTTTGCACAACAGCTTCAAGGCCACTTTATCTGCGTCTGGCGACAATAGAGCGCCGAGAACCGTCTCCCGCTGGGGAGCCGGATTACACCTTGCTATCCAGCTGGGCGTGGGCTTGTAATGTTCATCAAACTCATCTTGGTCTTCCTCGTCATCATCGTCGTCACCGCGAGCGCCATCCTCTCGTGACTCGTCGTCTCCAGAGGCCGTCCTTGCCTTCTCCGAAGCAGGCAGTCCGGCCTTCTCCACCAATCTTGCCAACATACCTAGCCCGCGATGTGTTATGAGACCATAGCTCTGCATGTCTGGTTCCATTGGCGGCATGTGTGGGTGTCCGGGCTGTAGCCTATGTGCTTGTGCAGTGCGGTCGACTGAAAGCACAAAAGCCATACGCAATAGACCTCCAGGCCAGCGGTCATCAGACCCAAGCCACGCGCGAGCAAGATTGTTCTCGTCGTTGTCCTCGGACGACTGTGCTGTCGGGACCATTGACGCCAAGATATCAGCAGCCAACATGCCCTGCGTCAACAAAGCCTTCCTGGCTTCCACCATCTTGAGTTCGACTGTAGTGGAAAAGGCTCGTTTTGAGCGTTCAGGCAAGACGGAGATGCTCAGAGCAAACGCAGAGGTAAGCAAATCTGCTGGTGGCACAGACTCGGACGAGTTGGGCGCTTGTGATGAAGTAAAAATGCTGCGGTACAATGATCGATTAGGTTCTTGGCGAGCCAAGAGTTTTGCAAGACAGTCAACTGCCAGCGGAAGATGTCGTTGCGCCAAAGGTATGTAAGGGCTGAATAGTAACGGAGAATCGGAGGAGATTGTAGGCGCTGGCTGAGGAGCAAAGGCCAAAATAAATTGAAGGATGTGAAGAGCATCATCGCGGCTCGGCAACTCCAGGATACCAGTGATATTAGAGAGGAACGTGATGATATCTTTGTAGAAGTCTGCGACGTTCCTCGAGGTCCGGAGGAAAGTGTTGCGAGTGCCCAGCAAGCGTATTGCATTTGAGACAAAGTTGACAACAGAATTGGATGATAGCAGGCGGTGGTTTGCTTCGTTAAAGGAAAGGTTGCGCAGTAGTGTCGTGACGGCAATGAGGCGATCAGCGGCACGATCCAACTCGTACTCCTGAGTACCAACGGCAGGGATGTCTTGCAAAGACTCGTTCTCGATGCGACACGATTTGACGAGATCTTCATAAGATGGCAGGTCGAGGCCGTCCGAGACTTCGGCAGCACCATCCGCAAGGATGTCAAGTTGAACTTCCGCGCAATCAACAAGCACGTCTGTCAAGTCTTCGCACTTGTCAAGATCCAAGTTGATGCGCGGTTCTATCGAGATCAATGTCAGATGGTCCAAGGCGTGACGGGTTTCAGCATGAATGCCAGACTGAAGACTCAAGGTAAGAGCTCGGATGTCGATTAGCCCCATTTCATCAACCATAGGCACATCGGGAACCAGGCGAGCAATCTCACCACCAAGCTTGGCTAATGGGAGAATGTCGTATCCACCATAGTAGTCCAGGCTACGTCTATGGGGCTCATACTCTGTCTCCTGGCCAGTAATGTGTTTCAACTCAGCAGTGCTAGCTTCGCGCTTGATGCCTGGGGTTCCGCCTGCTTCTGACTGGGTCTTGACTGCTGGTGATGCAGAGACTCGAGCTAGCTCTTGGTCTGGTGGTGGTACAGAGTCGAGCTTACCAACACTCGATGTACGACGGAACTCGTTCAAGGCCGAGTGCTGCATGGCATTCTGTGGAGTGGCCATTCCATTGACGGGTGTAGGAGTAGGACGCTGCATTGGTGTGGCTTGGGGATTCATCATAGGCACAGGAGTCGATTGCTGCTGCTGCTGCTGTTGTTGCCGAGCGGCTTGTTGTTGTTGCAATTGTTGCTGTTGCTGGGCCTGTATTTGTTGTTGTTGCAACTGCAACTGTTGTTGTTGTTGTTGTTGTTGTTGTTGCTGAGCTTGTTGTGCTTGCTGCTGCTGTTGGGCTTGTTGCGCTTGCTGGGCCTGCTGCATCTGCTGCTGTTGTTGCTGGGCTTTTTGCTGCATCTCCATCATTGTCTGCTGCTGTGCAGAGAGCTGATCGTTGGGACGGCCTGGTGAGCCTTGAGCGGGATTCGGAGTGCCTAGCCCAGCCAACTGGCGCGCCTGCAAGGAAGCTTGCTGCTGACGTTGCTGCATTCTAGCTTGCATGAAGACGCGCTCATATTGGCCGAGGTTGTTTTCGAACAATTGTTGCAATTCTTGTGCGGCCGTAGGATATTGTTGGAGGTTAAAGCCGACCTTTTGCGCGATCGTAGGCCAGCCCTGAAACTGGGTCACGCGAGTNNGGGAGCCGCCGTGTTGCAGGACAATGACCCAAATTATGTACAAAGGTAGTGGTCGTCCGCAAACTTGGGGCTGAGGGTTGAAAGGTCTGTTGTTCTGTTGACAGAACTGCTGCAACGATCGCATCCACTGTTCCTGCTTTTGCTGACTTGATTGCGCAGATGGCTGTCCAGGGGTGCCCATGCCATTGGCGCTTCCAACACTAGCATTGGCCGCAGCAGCCGCTGGGTTGAAGCCAGCAGCCGTCTGCGCAGCATTGGCGCGCACCTGAGCCATACTATTAGCCTGTAAGCGCTGTTGCTGCTGTTGCAGGCGCTGCTGATAGAGCTTCTGCTGGTATTGCTGCTGCATCTGAGGCACAGAAGTGATGCCCTGAGACATGTTCATAGCTTGCGACGAGGAAGGGTTGAAGTTTGCGCCGAACGACTGCTGCGGAGTGAAAGTGCCGGGTTGCATCATGTTGTTTGACGCGGTCGGGGGCGCGGGAGACATGGTCTGTGCGAAGGTGGCCGGCGAGGCTGTCGACATGCGCTGTGGTGGCTGTTGAGGCGGACGGAACTGCTGGGGCTGCATGGTCGGTGACGGGGTAGCATTGGTCGAGGCTGAAGGGTTCTGCTGCAGATGTTGGTAGGGGGTGGGCGGAGCTTGGAAGGATTGTTGCTGCTGTTGTTGGGAGTTGAATGCGCCGAAGGGGGCACCGGCCTGCATTGGGGTTTGCGATCGTGACATGTCTAGTGACTGTGACGGGGCATGCGGCGAGTGATGCATCTGATCTTCCGAGGGACGCGGACGCTTCGAGGGCACGACCGAGTTGACGTTGTAAGTCTGTTGCGGAGCGCCAAAGGCCTGCTGGGGGTTTATGCTGCCATTCTGGGCGAACGAGTTGAGGTCGATGTTGGAGGAATTGGGATTCGCATAAAGCGACGACATGGATGGGTTCATGTAGACGCCATTGGTCTGACCAGGCCACGGCGCGCTCATGGTCGAAGGCTACAGCATGGGGCACACGCCCTATCGAGGTGGGTTAGCTACTCGTTCAGGATGCCGACTTGTGACGCGTCCCTACGCGACCGAGCATATATGGGGGAGGACGGGCGATGGACGGTGACGCGACAGTGCTATGGCCAAGACATTGATATGGAAGCTTGGGTTGTAAAGCGATGGTCGCGTCCCGATGAGGGTAGTGGACGTGTCGGTGTCGGATGGTGTGGGCGTGGATGTGTGACGGTGGTTGGATGGGAGATGAGGTGTGTCTCTCTCTGTGGGCCATGGGGGCACTGGGCCTGGCGCAGATGGACCGAGCAGAGGTAGGATAAACAAACGTACCTAATGCAAAACAAAAAGTCGGTCTGTCGAGTCGTTGGAACACGCGCGTATTGATGCCTTTGGTGCCTTTGGAAAGAACCACCCGCGGTGCCAGAGCGTCGCGCCTGCCTTCTCCTCATTTTCGGTCCCGTGATCTCTCCGCAGGGCTGTGCTTGTGCTTGCAGCTGCCCACCGTCCGTCATATCCACGTCGCTTTTCTGTATTCTCTTGGGAAACAAAATCAGATATAGACGAGAGATGGAGGGAAGCGTAAAAGACACAAGCGATGGCTAGACTCCGTAATGGGCAAGATATGACATCTTCGGNCAGGGAACACCGTGCCTNTCAGAACGCGGATCTAGTTCTTGGTTCGCCGGCATGCAATCACACTGCACTCCACAACCACGACTAGTGATACACTATCCAATCTACCTCTTTTCAGCTCCAAAAGATCTCTTTTGAATTGTAAATGGTCACGCCAGATCTCGTTGAGCGCATACCTCTCATATCATCCCTTGAGCCCCTCTTTCCTGGTCGTCGTGTTCCCTCCCTACCCTTCCTCCACCAACGCCNAGAAATGTACCGACGAGATGTACCCCAGCTCGTTCACGCTCTCGAGACCCTTGGCACGAAATTCAAATCTGCTCGCTTGTCTCACATGCCACGAGCTGCTCCTCCCAATCCTCTCATTCGTGCTGCTCCACTGATTGTTTTCGCCTGTCGATGCGCCCTTGCTCTGTACTGAGAGGGATGGAGGCGTTCCCCTTCAAAACTCAGTTTTTTCCGACATCGTTCCGCATTTCTCGAACCTTGAATGACCACGAGAGGGTTTCCATTCCGATGATCTGCCACCCGAATATCTGTGGTGATGTCCATTTCGCAAGGGGTCACTAGCATGCACAGATTTATGTTTCTGAAGCAGAGTGCCTCAACAAACGCGCCGGTCTACGAGGATAACCTTCTATGGTTAGATACCGACGAAACGACAGCATGAGGACTGCAGTCGAAACTATACATATACCCGCCACCTACATTCGATGCTAAATTATTATCAGTGTCCATTGCGCTGAGAAGTACGCCAGACTCACCACTCTTCAGATTCGTACACACAATGTGCAAGAGAAGACTACTATTCTCGTGGAACATTTGAGTACGAATACCCTCGAGGCTGCATCAGTCCTTGCCTCTGCAAGTCAGCCCAATTCTAAGATTCTCTTCAGAGCCGAGACGCCATTCTGAACAACAAAGACCCAGTGATTGTACAATTCTTCTAGACGGATACATACAACCACCAACAGTCCATCGCTCATACACATGTACATATATCCTCCTTGTCCCTGCCCTTTCTCTCTGCCGTCACAAGATATCTTCAAGTCTTCCTCTTCAACAAGCCCCTAAAGAAATCAAAACTGTTGCTATCACTCTGCAACTCCCACTTTCTGCCCGTAGGTCTATCTTCCCAACCCAATTCCTCTGCAACAAGCAACCCCCAATCACTAGTGATTCCCTTGATTCTGGCTTTTGCACCTCCTTCTTGCTCAAGAGTAACAATTTGATCGCTGTGCAACCAATGCTTGTAGTAAGTGTCGAGTAAAGGAGTAAAGCCCGAATGACAGAATCGCAAGTACAGAGATTCAAAGCAGACGAGAATGCTAGCGAGCAGTTTTTCGCCTTGCATGGGGGCAAGTTTTGCGGCTGTGCAGAGAGCGTTTAGAGAGGTTGTTGGGGCGGTGTTGGAGACGTTGATGCCGATGCCGCAGATGAGTGTGTAGTCGCCTCCTGAGTAGCTGCTATTTACCAATATACCCCCGATCTTGACGTAGTTTTTGGGGTCGGAGGTATTGGCGTTTGGGCCCTTGGAGGGGTCGAGGGCGTAAATGTCATTGGGCCATTTTAGCTTTACGGGTAGGGAAGTGTAGTTGCGGTCGTAAGTGTGGATGCCTTGGACGATGGCAAGAGCGCAGAGGTATTGGATGAATACTACAGGGGCGGTGGAAGACAGGGCCATTGGGTGGCGGAGCAGGGTACTGAACATCAGAGACCCAGGAGGAGATACCCAGACATTGTTGCCTCTGCCTCTTCCTGCTACCTGTGTAGTGGCTGTTGCTGTGGTGCCTGTGGGCAGTTTCTCCAGCAGTGTGGGATTCTTTTCCAGCAGTGTGTTGGTGGAGGTAACGACTTCACCATATAGAAGCATGTTCCCAAATGTCTCCGAAACATCGTGATGGTGTTTGGCTTTGTAGTGGGCGAGATTGGCAAAGTAGGCGTGGTGATTGAAGTAGGNGGTTTGTTTAGTGTCGGGGAGAGAAGTGTCGTGAACGAGGAGGGTTTTTGTGATCTTGTCGTAGTCGACTATGCCGGTGTCTTGTTTGGTGTCTTCTTCGGTGGTTGAAGTGGAGGTTGGGTCGCTAATGGCGGCTGGGAGGATATCTTTCACCACTGCAGGCAGAGCATCGGCGACTTTCTGGAGGTTGAGGGTACTAGATTCTTTGGCGTTCCATGGTCCGCTCTGCTTCTCGAGACTGAAGGTGTCGTTTTCGCCTTTGATTAGATGCTTGCCGTCGACCTCTTTGACGATACCAGACCATGATGATACGAGTTCTGATACTTCTGAGACTTCCAAGGTCGACAGATGCAGGCGAGACAGCGAAGGTACACCTTGATCATCCTGGCTAGGATTCAGGCCGAGCTTGGCTAGACATGCCTTCATGAAATCGACACGTTGCTTGTCGTCTGCAGCAAGAGCCTCGACAATCCTTGGGTAGGCAGGGTTGTCACCACCCTTTGTCAGGTTGACTGCAGCAANACCTGTGACCGGTTAGCTCGTGATTTGCGAAATCAAGCACAGAACTTACTCTGGATGGGGACCGGTCAGGACAACAGAGCCTTCGCCTACTTTGCGGTATACAACCGCAGCAGTTCCTTCGCCAGAATCAACATGCAGACGCTCGGTGTAGCTTGCAAGCACCTGCACTCCTTGATCCTTGTACTTTTCAGCATCGACAAAAACACCACCACCATTGTAGTACGAGCGGAAAGTCTCAGGCACAGCTCCACCGACAGTGGTCAAGGCTTGCTTGTTGACACTCAACTCTGCCGCTCTAGCACCAGCTTCGCTATGGTAGACGAAGCCAGGGAATGCAAGACCTCTGCAGGTACCAGGATAGAAGCCAAGTTCTCTATCACCGCACACCTCCATCCCCTTCTTGCCAGATTCAAACTCGCAGCGCTTGCATGCGTAGTAACCACCGGCACAGAGACCGAGATAAGCACCTCCCTTTTNGACGTAGGCGGAGATTTTACGGTTACCTTCGCCATTCAGGGAGCGACAGTAGCCTACATCTGCACCACCGGGCATTACGAACAGAGCGCAAGATGCAGTCCATGGTTCCTTGAGTACAGACTCTCCAGTGATGGGGATGACAGCATAGTTTGGACCGAGCAGCCGGCGCAAAGACCAGAGACAGTGACGGACAGATTCAACAGTAGAACCATTGCNCTATATCCAAAGCATCAACAAATGCAAGAGAAAGAACAGTCATTAAAGATACGTACCCGAGTAGACGAGCACATTGACTCTTTTGTCAGCCATGATGGTGAACTTGTGGCAATTACTCGATTCGTAAATGACCGAGAATCCTCGCTGTTTCTTCGATGACCAGCACTTCTTGACTCTCTCGACACTCAACAGAAATCTTGGAAATGGCGGCGGAAAGAGATCCCAAGCAAAACACTGCGAGTGCAGTCGTAGACGACGACGAGCCAGATGATTGGTAAGTTCAACTCTTCCGGAGCTCTTTGGTATGACTCGGGATGCTGAACCAACACCTGCAGNNGGACAAGCGTATCTTCAGCACTGGTTGCTCTGGTAAGCGATCGAGCGGGGTCTTTTCAGTGTAGAAGTAAGAGGCTGAGATGAACAATNNAGTTGAAAATACACGCCTGAACGATTGCTTCTTTGAAAAGAAGGATTGGAGACAGTGCAAGTCAGAGGTGGGTTGAGCGAGCAGCGACCTCGGGTTTGAAAAGTCTCGGACTTTTGGGCTTCGGTTCTCGGAACTCTTGTTTCGCCAACAGATACTAATCACCGGGAAATAGATGGAAGAGTTCAAGCAATGCTGGAAGAAGCAAGGCAATGACCGTAGGACCGATCAGAAGAATGTCTAAAAAGATCGAGAAATGGGTGCAAGTGTCAGCTCAAGCTGTTCATTGCACTGCATGAGCTTGATGGCCCGGACCTTGATGAAATGCGACCGCCATGGTCTTTCCATCTATACACTAGGCAATTGTACTATACACTGTTCTATCATCTGAAGCTCTTGATATTTACACATGGTAGCAATGTTCGAATTATCCGATAGAGTAAGTGGACGATATAGACGGTAAGTACCATGGTGGTTTGGTGACGAAAGCAGCTTCCATCTCTCTGCGTTGCCACGCCATCTGCCTGACCATCTTCTGCCTGAGATCTTCCACGCGCAACAAATTCAAACACATCCAAAGATGCGCACCACATTCGTTCGTGAGGGTCGTAACCGGCCTCGAGTCGGCCGTCCGGTCTTCTTCGCGCAACATCACTCGCACCCGCTCATCGCATCTTGCGCCGTCAACCTACAGAAGCTTCAACTCGCAAACTCGCCGCTACGATGGAAACACCCCAGCCACGAGCTCCGCAAATTCAGCAGCTCCTCGCGCTGCTGCAGCCCAGTCATCATACACACCCAAGCCCGCCGCTCCAGCTCCCGCCGCACCAAGCGAGCCCATGCGTTCGCTCACCGATGGCCTAAGTGATCCNCCACCTACTCTCGCAGAGGGCGAGAAGCAAGTCGACTGGACCCGCTCCTTCCACGGCATCTCTTCAACGCCTTTCAGCTCCGAGGCTGCCGCTATCCTGACGCAAGAGATTGACTTTGACGACATTGAGATCAAGCCCGACGGAATCATTTACTTGCCCGAGATCAAGTACAGAAGAATCTTGAACAAGGCGTTCGGGCCTGGAGGCTGGGGTCTTGTGCCGCGTGGCGAGACTATTGTTACGCAGAAGCTGGTTACCAGAGAATATGCCCTTGTTGCTGGGGGACAGTGAGTTTCTCAACTCGCCTTACCAAACTGTCGCGTGTTGCTAACATATCATTTGCTAGANCTCGTCTCGATAGCCCGTGGCGAACAACAATACTTTGACCCCGACGGCATCCCTACCGCGACCGAGGGCTGCAAGTCCAATGCTCTGATGCGCTGCTGTAAGGACCTGGGCATTGCCTCTGAACTCTGGGACCCTCGATTCATCAGAAAATACATGAAAGAGATGGGCAAGGAGATTATTGTCGAGCACGTCATGACAAAGAAGAGGAGAAAGCACTTTATGAGAAAGGATGATGAGCTGAAGTACCCCTTCAAGGAGGTCGTCATCCCTGGTCAGACTCCTGCTAGAAAGTAGGGAGATGTGTATAGATGGAAGAATTGGCTGGCCACGATGGCTGGAGTGTACGATATTGCAGAGAGATACCACGACATTGCATGCAATCTGCGAGCAGACATTCCTTCATCTCTTGAATGTGATTTGTACAGGATATGATACATGGCTCAAAATACAGTTCATATGCTCATCTCAAAGAGCATGCTCTTGTGTTTTGATACGACAGCTGGTGTGTAGCATCATGTTGCCAGGCGAGACATTGGTCCTCAATGGCGCCAGGCCAGCGTACCCGGGGCGTCTGGTCTGGCGCACGCGATCATGGTCACGGCGCAGACAAAGGTCGCAGTGGCGATAAGTGACGAGAGATGCTCTCCTCTCCAGCGAAAGAAGCAGTTCTACCAGAGCTTCCACGAAGAGGACTTGGTCTCGGTTGCGCCTGGTGTAGCATTGCCAGAGTTCAAGTCTGCAAACTTCTGAGCATCCTCTTCTTCCTTCTTTTGACGGCGCAACTCTCTCGCTCTCTCCAGACGGGCTTCCTTTTGCTTGCGTTCGACTTGCTTGCGGTCGATGATCTCCATGGCGCGTGTCATGCCTTCCTTTTCTGCCAGACGCTTGTACTGGCAGTATTGGTACATGCCTGCGGAGCCGATGACGAAAGTGCCGACTGCCCAGTTGGTGGCCGATTGGATTGGTGCTGCATTGCTTTGTCAGAGGATGTGACTGAAGAGACGAAACTCGTGCAACTCACCCCTCCAGATGGCCCTCGTACTGCCTACCACAAAGCCAGCGGTGATTCCAGTGAGCAGCGAGTCCCTCACACAAGGCTTCTTGGGCAGAGCAGCAAAGTCCTCGATCTTGATTGATCTTGCAGCGTCGGTGATTGTGACGTCGGCAGCCGAGCCACCGGCGGTATGCTGTGATGCTGCGGCGGCGTAGACATTGGCGTTCTCGGGTTTGACTGCGTGGGTGGCTTCGGCGCCCTTCCACTGGTCTGCTGTAAAGGCCTTTTCCGCGCTTGCGGGTTGCCGTGTTGGATCGTCTGACATGGTTGTGTATGTGTGAGATTGAGTAGAAAGAAGAATGTCTGAAAGTCGATGAACTCATGCGGCAAAGCCACAGGGCCAGACCCTGACCAGCGCGTCCTGCCGAAGATGCCGAGATCGAAGGTCTGCCCTAATTAGATCTGTTGTTCGCGTGGCACGTCGCGAGTTTCGTGTGTCGAGCGCGCCTGCTCTGTCGTTTACCGCTGTTGTTTTTGTGTGTCGTCAATCCCATATTCAATCATCGTATACCAACTCTGCTACAGCCCTTACGACTCATGACTTTCCATTCTGAAAGCACTTGACCGACTCTCTTCACAACTACACCATCATTAATTCGAGAAGCACAATACACATTCCCCGCACCATGGCGAGGCAGAACGGCCAGAACTTCCGCCGCATGGGCAAGAATGGCAACACCTCGTACGGCTCACGGAAGATGAAGACTGCAGACATATCCACGTTACGAGGCTCCGAACAAACGTCACAGAATGAGAAACTCGAGGCCACACGGCTGGCCCACAAGATCGACGAAGCCATGGGCTTTGAACGCTTCGAGGCCGGCAAGAAGAGAGAAGGCTGGCTCATCAACATGCACAGCACCAGCGTAGAAGACAGCAAGAACCAAGGAGGTCGCGCGGGCGTCGACTTTTACTTTCTCCAGGACGATGGAAACACTTTCAAAGCCACCGTTCAATATGACCCTTATTTCCTGGTTGCCGTCAAGAGGGGCAGGGAGCCTGAAGTCGAGGAGTGGTGCAAGAGGTCCTTTGAGGGCATGGTCAAGACGGTTCAGAGGATAGACAAGGAAGACTTGTCAATGGTACATTAAAGCCTTCTTATTCTACAACTGCAGCACTCAATTGACCAATCTGACAGNCCAAACCATTTACTCGGACACCGACGAAACTTCCTCAAACTCACATTCGCCAACGTCGATCACCTACTGCAAGTCAGGAGGGGTATCTCGCCCATCGCCGAAAAGAACAAGAGCAAAATGAATGCCATGGACACGTACGCCGAGGTCGCAACTGCAAACGCTGGAATCGACATGTTCGACGACGACTTTGAGCAAGCCAACAAGGCCAGTATCCACGACGCCAGCGACTTCATCGTCGACATTAGAGAATACGACGTACCCTACCACGTACGAGTAGCAATCGACAAGGACATCCGAATAGGAAAATGGTACACTGTCGACGCAAAACACGGACACATCACCCTGACTTGCATTGAAGAGAGGCTACAACGTGCAGATCCCGTCATTCTGGCCTTCGATATCGAGACTTGCAAGGCACCGCTCAAGTTCCCTGATGCGGCCGTTGATCAGATCATGATGATCTCGTACATGATCGATGGTCAAGGTTTTCTCATCACAAATCGAGAAATCGTCTCCGAGGATATTGCCGATTTCGAATACACACCCAAACCAGAGTACGAAGGACCTTTTCTAATCTTCAATGAGCCGGACGAAAGAGCTTTACTGGAACGATTCTTCGACTGCATCAAGGAGGCTCGCCCAACCATTATCGTTACATACAACGGAGACTTTTTCGATTGGCCATATGTCGAAGCCAGAGCTAGTATCCAAGGCATCGACATGTACCAAGAAATTGGTTTCCGCAAGAACAGCGAGGATATTTACCAATCAAATTACTGCGCGCACATGGACGCCTTTGCCTGGGTCAATCGTGACAGTTACTTGCCTCAGGGAAGTAGAGGTCTCAAAGCTGTCACTGTGGCTAAACTTGGCTACGATCCCGATGAACTCGACCCGGAATTGATGACACCATATGCCCAGGAACGACCACAGACTCTGGCCGAATACTCCGTCTCAGACGCCGTGGCGACATATTACCTCTACATGAAATACGTCCACCCGTTCATCTTCTCGCTATGCACCATTATTCCGCTCGGACCTGACGACGTGTTGCGAAAGGGTACTGGCACGCTTTGCGAGATGTTGCTCATGGTCCAGGCTTATCAAAAGGAGATCGTTCTACCCAACAAGCATCAAGCACCGCGAGAAGCTTTTTGGGAAGGCCACCTACTCGAATCTGAAACCTATGTCGGTGGTCACGTCGAAAGTATTGAAGCTGGTGTCTTCCGCGCAGATATACCCTGCAACTTTGCGGTTGACCCAGCGGCCATTGATGAGCTGATCAAAGAACTTGACAACGCGCTCAAGTTCAGTATCACAGTAGAAGAGAAGAAGTCTTTAGATGACATCGAAAACTACGAAGAAGTCAAGGCGCAGATTCTGGAGAAGTTAATACAGCTCAAGGAAACGCCAAACCGCAAGGAGAAACCTCTGATCTACCATTTAGATGTCGCGTCCATGTATCCCAATATCATGACAACCAATCGTCTACAACCAGATTCTATGATTGAAGAGGCAGATTGTGCTGCCTGCGACTTCAACAGACCTGGAAAGACTTGCGATCGAAGGTTGCCCTGGTCATGGAGAGGTGAATACCTACCAGCGAAACGCGATGAATACAACATGATTCGTCACGCCTTGGAGAGCGAAAACTTCCCGGGCAAGAAGGCGAACAGTCTGCCTCGAAGCTTCCAAGACCTGTCTCTTGACGAGCAATCGGTACTAGTCAAGAAGCGACTACAAGATTACAGCAAGAAGATTTACCACAAGATCCACGAAGCCAAGACCATCGAGAAGGAAGCCATCATCTGTCAACGAGAGAATCCCTTCTACGTCGACACTGTCAAGGACTTCCGTGACAGAAGATATGATTTCAAGGGCAAGCAGAAGGTCTGGAAAGGCAAGACTGAAGACCTGAAGAAGGCCGGTGCTTCACAGGCCGAAGTTGACGATGCTAAGAAGATGATCATCTTGTTCGACTCTCTTCAACTTGCTCACAAGGTCATTCTGAACAGTTTCTATGGCTACGTCATGAGAAAAGGTTCTCGTTGGTACTCCATGGAGATGGCCGGTGTTACCTGTTTGACTGGTGCTCGCATCATCCAAATGGCCCGCCAGCTGGTCGAACGAATCGGACGACCTCTCGAACTCGACACTGACGGTATCTGGTGTATCCTTCCCGCCACCTTCCCTGAGAACTTTGCGTTCAAGATGAAGAATGGCAAGAAGATTGCGATATCATATCCTTGTGTCATGTTGAACCATCGCGTTCACGACGGCTTCACCAACCACCAATACCAGGAGTTGGTTGATCCTCAGACCTTCCGCTACGAGACGCATAGCGACAACACTATCTTCTTCGAGGTCGATGGTCCGTACAGAGCCATGATCTTGCCTACTTCCAAGGAAGAAGACAAGAACTTGAAGAAGCGTTATGCTGTGTTCAACCACGATGGCAGTCTTGCCGAGTTGAAAGGTTTCGAAGTAAAGCGTCGTGGTGAGCTCAAGCTAATCAAGATCTTCCAAACACAAATATTCAAGTTCTTCCTCGAGGGCACCACGTTAGAGGAGACATATGGAGCAGTTGCCAAGATTGCCAACCGATGGCTGGACGTACTGGACTCTCGTGGTTCCACCCTGGCTGATGAAGAGCTTATCGACCTCATTTGTGAAAACAAGAGTATGGCCAAGACACTCGAGGAGTATGGCGCACAAAAATCGACCGCCATTACCACTGCGAAGCGTCTTGCCGAATTCTTGGGCGAGCAAATGGTCAAGGACAAAGGCTTGAACTGCAAGTACATTATTTCGTCACGACCCAGAAACTCTCCCGTCACTGAACGTGCCATCCCGGTCGCCATCTTCTCAGCTGAAGAATCAGTCAAGAGGCATTACCTTAGGAAGTGGATGAAGGACGACCCGGGTGACATGGATCCTCGTACTGTCATTGACTGGAACTACTATCTTGAGCGTCTGGGCTCCGTCATTCAGAAGCTCATTACTATACCTGCTGCCCTGCAAAAGATTCGCAACCCGGTTCCTCGCGTTGCTCATCCTGACTGGCTCGAGCGCAGAATCAGAATCAAGGATGATGTCTTCAAGCAGAAGAAGATGACGGACATGTTCACGAAGAAGCCCCTTGAGGCTGCGGACATCAATGAAGTCAATGGAAGGATTATCGGGGACCTTGAAGACTTTGGCTCGTCGTCATTGACTGTGCCGAAGAGGGCTATGGTTTCTAGGGTTGCCTCATCTCAGAAGCGCAAGGCCGCCGAAGTCGAACCTGCTGCGCCGATTGACCCTTATGCTAGCCTGCCACCGAATATGCCTTCCATCACTGAGGATTACGAAGGCTGGCTTCAGTATCAAAAGAAGAAGTGGAAGATCCAGAAGCAGGCACGGAAGAGAAGACGCCAGCTCTTTGGTGAGAAGAGAGTTGACAACACTGATGCCATTGGCAACATGTTTCGCAACCAAAGTGAGTTGATGTACAACTCAACCTGGCAGATCTTGCAGCTCTGCGAGGGTGAAAGCCCAGGTGAAGTCAAGGCTTTTGTTCTGATCGATCAGAAGGTACATCAACTCAAGGTTGTTGTGCCGCGTCAAGTCTTCCTCAACCTGAAGGGAGATGATTTGCCTGATGTCTCTGTTGATGGTGTACAAGCCGAGAAAGTGGTCAATTACACCCTTCCCAACGGTCACCCTTCAGTACATCTATTCAAGCTCAGCATGCCTGAACAAGTCTATATCAAGGATGCGGACAAGCTTGCAGCACTCTTCAACCACTCCAGCGTTGAAGGAGTATATGAGACGCAAGTGCCGTTGGACATCAGAGCAGTTCTGGAGCTTGGCAGCACTTGCACCTTCGATGAGACGCAAGCAGGTGTTCTCGGTAAAGGTATGACCCATGGTTTCGACCTGTCAGCACTGCACTATGTGCCTCCCAAGCAACCTTATCTGTCTTCTGCTCCCATGAGCTACCTCTACCTTTACCATGTCATTGCTGGAGAGCGCCAGATCTTCGCGATATTCTGTTCGTCCAAGAAAGAGGCTCAAATCGTTGTCCTCAACAGATCTCGTGCTGACCAAGGCATGCCCAACGTCGATCGCATCTATCAAGACATGTTCACCAAGAAGCTCGAAGAAAACAATGGGGAGCAATGGCAAGATGTCTTTGAGTATCAAGAAAGCGTTCACTTCAAGACTGTCAACGTCACCACCAAGAAGAGAGCACTGCAAGAAGTTGGCGATGCCATCAAGAAGATTCAAAAGGAGGAGACCAACCCTGTGATGGTGGTCATCCAATCTCAACAGCCTCGTCTACTCAGACACGATCTGCCAGTCTTGCAAGATTTGCCTATGCTGCCTCTGAAATCTGATGAAGATGACAAGAGATTGCCTCCTCTCGGATGGCAGTCATTTGTCGCAAAGAGACTGGTCGGCCACTACCTCGACCTCGGTTCATGGATAACACACTTGATCGAGCTCAGTCGTTATGGCAATGTCCCCCTCTGCAATCTCGAGAAAGACGACCCTCGCTTCTTGATTGATATCTCATATGCAAGAAGGTTGCAGAAGGAGAAGGTGGTGCTATGGTGGTCAGCCAACCCACGTCCAGATCATGCTGGCTACGAGAAAGATGATATCCTTGCTGCCATGGAGACTGTGGACATGCCTTCGGTCAACAATCCTGGAACCTACTCTTCAGTTTGCATCGATCTCAGTGTCAAGAACCTTGCAATTAACACGATCTTGTGTTCTGCAGTGCTCAACGATGCTGAAGGCAGTGACTCGATGGGCCTGTCAGTGCCCCCGCCTAACGAAGAAGGCATCGAAGACATCTCTCACGTCGTCTCTGGCGAAAACACATTTGCACAGGCTGGTATCATGGCTTTGAGGGAGATGGTCAGAGCATGGTGGGAAGAAGCGTGTCGTGGTGGCGGCATGGCAGATGTCATGGTCCAACACCTTGTACGCTGGATCGAGAATCCAGGCTCTTTCTTGTACGACAAGTCGTTGCACTACTATGTGCAGATGATGTCAAGAAAAGCTCTGCAACAGCTCATGTCCGAGTTCAGACGTGTTGGTTCGCATGTCGTGTACGCAAGTGCAAACAGACTGCTCTTGCAGACCACCAAGGCTGAAGTCGGCAATGCTTACGCATACAGTCAGTACATCCTCAAGACTGTCAATGCCAAGCCGTCTTTCAATTTCTTGGATCTCAGCATCACGGAGTACTGGGACTATCTGATCTGGTATGACGAGTTCAACTATGGCGGCAAGGGATGTGCAGAGGTTGTTGAGGCCGAGAATCAAACACTCAACACCATCATGGAGTGGCAGATTGGCACATTTCTGCCCAGGATCTTGCAACCCATGTTCAACGATTGGGTTGTTGAGTACGTTGACCTCATGCATGCCCGCAAGAGACCTTCGGGCACTGGAGTCAACGGTGCACCACGTCCTACACAACTCCCGATTCACGCATCCATCTTTGCTTCCGAGAAGGACGACCAAACTACTCCTGGCGACGTGCTAGCAAAGACCTTTTCCAAGCCTTTAGCCAAACAGATCAAAGCACTGATCAAACGCCAACGCACAGAAGCCATGCACGAAGAATTGGCTTCCGACTGGGTTTTCCCCTCTCTACCTGGCTCCTCAAAGCCACTCCAAAACCCAGTGTTGCAATTGGTAAAGAGTGTCATGCAAGTCCTCTCCCTCGACAAAACCATCACACTGGAAGCCCGTCTGTTGCGCAAAGAGTTACTCCATCTCTTTGAAATCCGCGAGTTTAGTGCTGAAGGCGCATTTGCAAACCCTTCTGATAGTTTGGCGATCAAGCAACTCAGTTGTCCTGAATGCTGTCTCCCTCGCGACATTGATCTCTGCCGCGACGGCGACATCATCCCCTCCGAGGTTACAGATACTTCCTCTCGCGTCTTGACCATCCGCTGTCATAACTGCGATGCTTTGTTCGACCGTCTAGCCATTGAAGAACGCCTACTCTCCGAAGTTCAGAAACTGGTCTTGCAATGGACGACGCAAGATTTAAAATGTGGCAAATGTGGACGCATCAGACAGAATGAGTTTATGGATCATTGCAGCTGTGCTGGAGAGTGGATGGCCACGGTCAAAAAGGAGGAAGTGCAGAAACAGTTGAAGGTATTCAAGAGTGTGGGCACGTTTTATGGTATGAGGATGTTGGAGGATGTTGTTGGGGGTGTGGGTGGCTGAGTTGTGTAGTAGATCTACTGAGGCTGCAAAGAAGAGGAAATGTAGTGAATGGGATGGGTTTTTTTGCCATGGGGTAAGGCGTTTTAGGGATGGAGGGACGGAGGAGAGGGGAAGGGAAGGTGCAATGGTGGTTGAGAATGTGTGTATATGGTAAGGAAGGAAGCCGCTTTTGCTGCTTGCCACTTCTGCGAATGAATAGATTTTCATCGTTTCCCAACTCTGCGCGTAACCTTTTTAAAAACCTCATGGTTACTCAAAACTCCAGTCCAACCGAATGGATATACAGACAACACAACCGCAAAGCTTGGTAGAACATGGCGACTCTGTACTTCCCCTCTCGACCTCTCCTTCCTTGATCATCTGCTGCGTCTCACTGGCCCACGTCCAGCTCAACATCCTCAAGCGTTATTCGGGTGACAAGAGAGCTGTACTTGAGAACACGTCATTTCGACATGAACCTCGCGCCAAAAAAAAAAAGAAAACCCCCCCTCAGATATGATCAGGTGGTCAAGGTCTTAAAAAATCTCTATAGTTGATTCTCAAAGGCTAGCATTGACAGAAAAGCAGAGAAGGAGAGAAAAAGGGGGGGGGGAACGATTGTTGAGTATGCTTTGCGTTTGAAGAGAGAGATGGTCTTTCTATAATGATGCAGATTTTTTCTATGGATGCCAGTGTAAGACGTCTACTTAATCCTCGTGTAGAAGGTCGAGGTTCAATGAGGGTCAATCATCATCATCAACCCGTTACAAACACCAGACGCTCCCATGCATACCACCTCCCAAGACGCCGAAAATCAGCAAACGAGGCCTGCAAAGTATCCTACTTTGCAAGAGAGAAAAAGGACATAATGTTCCGCTACATCCAAAGACAAAGACTCGCAGTCATCTAGCCCAGACCAGCCTTGCCTGACTTGACGGTAGCCTGCACGGGAACAAGGAGACCACCAGAGCCTTCCTTTCCGAGCGACATACCGGCTGCCCAACCCATCTTTTCCATGAGCTTTCTGCCGAAGTTGCTCTCTGGAATCTCTGATGCGTTGTGACCGACGACATCACCATTGCGATATGCAGCTGCACCGCCGCCACCGCCGCCCATCTGCCTGGTTCTCCTGACCTCGCTGGCTCCGGTAACCTTGGGCTTCCTGGACGAGTTCTTCATATATCCTTTGCTAACAATGTTCGAGACGCGGCTGAAGTGTTGCTCGCTCCATTCGATGGTCCTCGATGTCTTGACGAGAACAGGAGCTCTGTTCTTGCCGCTGCCGACGGACTTGGACTTGAGGTTGAAGTGGTTGGCAATCTCGTGGAGCACCTTGCGGTCGTTCTTTAACATTGGCGGGAATGCCTTTGTCATAAAGTCATCCTGCTCCAAGAAGTCTTGAAGCTCAAACCTGACCTGACCCATGGTGATGCCCTCGCTATAGCGTATGTTCATGTCAGGCTTGAACTTGTTCTTCTTGCCGAGTAAGCCCAGCTGGCGCAGCTCCTCACGCTCAGCCTTCTTGCTGGCCTTCTTTGAGCGGTCGTTGGCCCATTGGTTTTGCAACTCCTCGACCAAGTCCGAGTCTGACAAGCCGAGCTCCTCAGGAAGTGGGCCAGACTTGCGGCCTTTGTTCTTCTTTCTCAGACTAGGACGGTCGTAATCCATAACGTCGAAGCCGCCGTATGCGTCCTGCTCCAAGACGTCTGCCATGAGAGTGGCGTCGGGGAAGTTGTCGCTCTTTCTTCCGCCTTTCTTCTTCTTGCCACTCTTGGGTGTTTGCTTGACAGCGTAACTTGCCAGACCTGCGCGAGCACCATCGACATCTCCAAAGCGATCGTCGTAGAGCATAATGTCGTCGCCGTCGATGCCCAGCTCTTCTTGCTTCATAAACAGGAGAGCCAGCTCTTCGTCTGTCATTGCCTGTGCACGTCGCTCTCTGATGTCGGCGTCATCCTCCCATGCCTCACGCTCTTCGCGCGCTAAGCGTTCCTCGAGTTCGGAGCTATCTTCGCTTCCATCATCGTCGTCGTCGTCATCGTCATCTTCCTCATCATCATCATCCTCCTCTGAGTCAGATTCGTCTTCCCACTCATCCTCGAGGCCAGTGACATCAACATCATCCGGGTCCTTCTCTTCCTCGTTCAAGAGATCGTCAAAGAACTCGTCCGTGTCGTCTCCAGAGTCGCCACCCAGGCCGCGAGCGCGGGTAGGCATGTCCTCTGCAGCGATGTTGTCGATGTAGTCGCGCAACAGCTCATCCTCGAGATCCTGCTCGAGACGGAATATGCGATTCTGCTTTTTCCTGTTCTTCTTGGACTTGCGCGAAGCATGGACTCCACTGAGGTCTTGGTCGAGACGGTCAGCGAAACCGTTTGCCTCTTCCATAGACGGCCATTGTTCTGCAGGCTGTATCGGAGAATCTCTAGACTTTGAGTTTTCTGACATATCTTTCGCCCAGTCTGGAGGGTTGTCCAGCGACTTGAGGAATTTTTCCAATTGAGGGTTGACTTGAGGTGTGGGCTGAGCGACAGGCGTTGATGATGATTTGAATGCTGGCTTGGGTGCAGGCTTCGATACTGGCTTTTGAGCAACGGCAGGAGGGTCGTCTCTGATGGTTACACCAGCGCGTCCACGGAAGACGACCTCGTCACTTGATGACGATCTTGCAGGCGAAGGTGCGCGGGCGCGAGGGGCAGGAGCGGACTTGGGACCCTTGAAGGCGAGCGATTCGTCTCCGGCTGTGTCGACAAAGAACATGGGAGCGTCTTCAACTTGGGCTGGCGGCGAAGGTGCAGGCTGCTGCTGTCGAGGAAGCTGTTCGATAGGAATTGTGACTTCGGCATGGGCGTGGATGCTAACTGTCTCGTCAATTTCCATATCAACCTCATCAACGCCGTCCAATGATGGAATGGCAACAGAAGGTTCAGCGTTTATGTCCATCTGCGCCATTGCGTCTTCGGAGCCGTGCAGATCTCTGTCGTGGTCTGCGTTGTGCTGGATCTTCTTGGAAATTGGCTTGTCAACCTTGGGCTCGTCTAGCGGAGCCATGGAGCCAGCGCTGACAAAGGAAATCTTGTGGTCTCGTAGGCGTGACTCCTTGGTCCACTCATGCTTCTCTGTGCTCTGAAGTTCGTCTCTCAACGAGAAGTAAGGCTTTGGGGTGTTTGAACNCTAGAGAGGAGAGGTTCAGCTGACAGAGGTGGCCATGGGTGGATCGTGGGACTGACCGGTGTGGTTGTTGGATGATTCCTCACGGAATGCGAAAGCGTTCTTGTTGCGTGGCGGGGTGTATTTGGCAGCCTTTTGTCTCAACTTCTTGCCCATCTTGAAGGATAATCTGAGAGAAAATGAAAAATGAAATAATCGAGGTCCGTGACGGCAGGAGCAAACAAAGCACAAAGGTGGAAGGTGTGCTGGACAGAAGCAAGGGCGTTCCTGAGGAAGGAGCAAGGCTGGAGGCGAAAGTGGAAAGAGCGTCTTGGATCAAGGACCCGCCCGCATCATCATCGCTCTCTCAGACTTGATCGTTTCAGGGTCCGTGAGCGACTGCAGCTCGAGGGTTTAAGGCACTAACTCCGAACCCCAGCCCGTCACGCAGCCATCACGGTCTTGGTCGAGAGACGACGGTACGCTTGTTTGCTGCTGTAGTCCATCTCATGCAGATACTGCCATGAACAGCGACAACCTGGTCCGCTTTGCCGGACATCTCTATCGATACATCCGGGACCCTATGCCTACCAACACGCACAACGACGCCATCTGGTGCCTGGGCCAAACATACGACTCACTCCCCGAGACCAACTCACCCACGTCCACCCAACCTCCACCCTCGCTACCGTCTACCTCAAGTCCGACACCCGCGACCGACTCTAATCAGTCAGCCTCGTCAATAACACCTCAGAAAGAAGACGAATTCGAAACCATCCAAGTCCAGGAGGCCACCAACGATAACGCCTGGCCACCTGCCTTTCTCGACGACCTGGAGTCTCGCATATGGTTGACCTACCGCTCCAACTTCTCACAAATCGCCAAGTCTACCAACCCCGATGCCTCTTCTTCACTGTCTTTCAGGACTCGCCTCTTGCAGTTGGGCAACCAGGGAGGCTTCACAAGCGACACTGGCTGGGGCTGCATGATCCGAAGTGCTCAGAGCCTGTTGGCAAACACTTTACAAATACTTGACCTGGGAAGAGACTGGCGCAGNGGGGAGCAGTCCGACTCCGAGCGAAAACTATTGTCTCTGTTCGCAGATGATCCTTCTGCTCCCTTCTCCATACACCGTTTCGTCGAGCACGGCAGCAAGGCTTGCGGCAAGCATCCTGGAGAGTGGTTCGGCCCCTCGGCGGCAGCTCGTTGCATCAAGTATGCCCTCTTGTTCTATGTTCTGAAGTCCACTTTCGCTGACCATCAACAGNNAGCCTTGGTAGATTCACATGCTTCTTCTGGCCTTCGAGTCTACATTCGTCCCGATGACTCGAGTGTGTACGAATACAGCCTCGTGAGCACCGCTCGCGCTTCCGACGGCTCTTTCCAACCAACTCTGATTCTACTGGGAACCATGCTGGGCATTCGTGGTGTGACTCCATCCTACAGGGAAGCCATCAAGGCTGCTCTGCGTCTTCCTCAGAGTGTCGGCATTGCTGGGTATGACTTTTCTCTTGTCTGCTCCTCCTCTGACCACCGACTGACCTTTGTCCACAGTGGCCGACCATCCTCCTCGCACTACTTCATCGGCACTCAAGCCGACCACCTCTTCTACCTCGATCCACACACCACGCGACCTCTACTGCCTGCTTCTCCTTCTGAAGCCGATATTGCCTCCTGCCACACACGTCGTCTACGCCTGATACCACTCGAGGATATGGATCCGTCCATGCTCCTTGGCTTCCTTATCCGCGACGAGGCAGATTGGAACGACTGGAAAGCCGCCATCGGGGCTACTCCACCTACCGGTACAAAGAGCATCGTACACATTTACAAGGAAGAGCCCTCGCTGTCCGGCGAAACTACCGATGCCGAGTTTGAGCGTGCCGTTGCCGAAGTACAGAGCTGTGACGAAGACGAAGAAGACGACGCTATTATCTGACGAATGCATACCTATACTGCTGCTACGACGACTCCGATGGCGTTCTCTCTGGGTAACGGTGTTTCTTCTTCTCTTCTCTTTGCTTCTTCTGGGATCTTTTTCTCCATCTTCTGTTGGATCACTGGGTAAGGGCTGCTTGTGTTTCTGTGAAACGGCACTCTCTTTGCGCCCGACCGCGACGCGATATGCATTCATGCGCTCTTCCTCTACTCGAGTGGGCGCACGGGAGTTTTCTCGGGTGGATTGTTGATTTCCATAGCAACGAGCAGAGTATACCAATTTGACAATTTTCACGCTTCTTCTTTCTTTTCTCTGACGCGACGTGCTCGGGGGTGGTTGCTCGTGATCTTGGTGTTTCGAGGTGGCTGGGACCTCGGAGAGTGTCGGCTTTGTGATTTGAGAGCAGGGTTGTACCCCATACAAGCAACTTTTCGGTCGACGACGATGTTGTGACTGCGCTGCTGAGTACTTTCTTCTTGTGAGTGCTTGAGATCATTCAATGTATCTTGCCTGCTGTTCTGAGATGCTTCGCGGTATAATATCTAGTTTCTCTGCCATGTTATGCTCGAATATATGTTTTCTGGTATGCTTCTTCGAGAATGTCTACTCACTTAATAGCAAAGACTAGACAGTAATGAAAAAGAAGCAAGAGAATAGTGTATCGACGTCGATATCGTAGACATAAGCTCTTATAGAAGCATATCAAGATAAGTGACACTATTTGATCCATCCCGACATGGAGATGAAAGAGATATATATATCCATCGTTGCTGCTGCCACAGAGTCTAGATGCTAAAGTCAGGGTGACTGTCTACAACCAAGATGCCTTTGTCAAAAATTCTATAAACTAGACTCTATTCGTTGCCTTTTCATCCACCTGTTTCCTTCTCACAACATCATCACACCTACAAGTACTGATCCTTTTCTTCTGTCTCTGACTCTGTCTTATTCGTCATACATACAGCAATAGAGAAACTATACTACTCCCCATAGCCGCTGCGTTGCCATGCCAGATCATGATCCCCAAAAAGCTCGAGTCGAGTACGGGAGCTCGGACGTAAAGAGAGCTCTAGCTTGGTCCTCTGATTATGTGACCAGAGCACATAGCAACAGACCACCGTGACAGTTTCGCGTTTCTGACTGACATTTGATCGACCATCTCTCAAGGAATCACTCACCCTGCGGAGAGCCGTGGAATCTCCTCAAAAGTCACATTGATGGGGTGCTTTCATTTTCGTGGTCTTTGGAAGTTTGCGCTATAGGCCATTTCTCGCATTTACTTGTTGCCATTCTTTCGAGTTGCAGTTTCGTGCTAGAAAGAGCGTTTGTTTCTTAAATGTAAATGCTCAAGTGTTGGTGAAGCAGGAAACTGGAAATGCTACTGCAAGAAGAGCAGCAATGAGAAGGATGAAAGAAGAGGAACAAGGAAAGTGGAAAGCAGTAGTAAAAAGGTTGGAAAAATCGATTTGGTTTCCTCCATGGTTCTTCGGCTCTTCTGAATTGTACAGCTCGTATCGTCTGAACCTGTTGATGCGCCCTTCTCTCTCTCTTGAGTCGTAATAGAAAACCCGATGGTTGTAAAATGAAAAAACACACTGCGCAATAAACTTATACCCCATTCCCATGACCGCATTATCAGAAAGAAGTAACCCCGCTAAACACCGTCCCAATTGGAGACCACCCCGTTGCCCAAAGCCCAGTTGTTCAGATCGTTGCTGAAAACAACTTGAGGTGGTGGTATCACAGAGAAAAAGGAAGCCATCAGATCAAAAAGGATTGATCAAAGCAACTCTTACTTGGTGGAGGAAGAGTACTTGGTGACGGCCTTGGTGCCTTCTGAGACGGCGTGCTTGGCAAGCTCACCGGGGAGGATGAGACGGACGCNTGGATAAGAGTCAGAAAGTGAAAGTGAGAGATGAGACTGATTGAAGACATACGAGGTCTGGATCTCACGCGAAGAGATGGTCGACTTCTTGTTGTAAGCAGCGAGCTTGCTAGCCTCGGTTGCAACACGCTCGAAGATGTCGTTGACGAAGGAGTTCAGGATGGACATGGCACGGTTGGAGATACCAGTGTCGGGGTGGACCTGCTTGAGGANCTGTGAAAGACGCGTCAGTGAAGGTCCAAAACACGTAAAAGGAAAGCGAAAAGACGCGATCTGTTGATTCGAAAAGGCCAATTCGTTGAAGCAAAGTGACGCGATCAAGGAAAAGACGCGATTCGGATGAAGTGGAAGTCGAGGTGGCGTACCCTTGTAGATGTAGGAGGAGTAGGTCTCCTTTCTGGTCTTGGTGCGCTTCTTCTTGTCACCGGAGGGGCGGCGGTCTTCTTGCCAGCCTCCTTCTTNCTCAGCGGGAGCCTTGCCAGCGGCGGGGGCCTTGCCGCCAGTGGTGGGGGTCTTCTGAGCTGCCTTGGGTGCCATTTCGATTGATGTGGATTTGAAAAGTCGAGTGACTTGAGTTGTTGGGTTGAGTTGGGTTGTTAGAGGTGGCGGACACGTAAAATGCGCAGAGTGTTGATGATGGATGGAGAAAGAAGGAGGGAGAGTGTCGACGTCGTGGGGGCAGACAGCTTTATACAACTGGGGGAAGAGCTCAAAATCACCGATGGCCAAGTGACGAGCGTCGAAACGCGACTTCCCTCCGACGCGCTCCTTCCTTCGAATCACAGAAGCCAGATCAGGTTAGGCAGGCAGGCGCTCGGTTGTTGGCCAATAGTAACGGCATGTACGCTGCACGGACCCCAGAAACTTGATTGATCCAAGCCAATGATCCTGGGGTGAACTTTGAAGCAACGTCAAGCCTGCGGCAGTACTTAAATCAGAAGCTCCCCGAATAAGCCTGCTGTCCCTCTTCCTTCATCTCTCATCCACGCTTCTCAACTCACGCTCGACGTATTCATCACCGCTTTTTAGCACCACTTCTCAACTCAACCCCCCAACCCCCCCAACCAAATCAATCAAAATGACTGGCGGCAAGTCTGGCGGCAAGGCCACTGGCACCAAGAGCAGCGCTCAGAGGTAAGCAGAACTCGCTCCTTCACTCACTTCTCACTTTTGCGCCTCATTTGACGCGCTTTTCCAATCCAAAACAACGCGTTTTTGCATCTCGAATCATCCGAATCTCATTCTGACTTCCATCTCNAGCCGTTCCTCCAAGGCCGGTCTCGCCTTCCCTGTTGGTCGTGTCCACCGTCTCCTCCGCAAGGGCAACTACGCCCAGCGTGTCGGTGCTGGTGAGTCAAATCGCGTCTTTCAACCCCAACCAATCACATCTAACGCGTCTTTTCANGGTGCCCCCGTCTACCTCGCTGCCGTTCTTGAGTACCTGGCTGCCGAAATCCTCGAGTTGGCTGGCAACGCCGCTCGTGACAACAAGAAGACCCGTATCATCCCCCGTCACCTTCAGCTCGCCATCCGCAACGACGAGGAGTTGAACAAGCTTCTCGGACACGTCACCATCGCCCAGGGCGGTGTCCTCCCCAACATTCACCAGAGTACGTTTTGCGCCACATTCACAACCAGACTTCCACGTTCTAACATGCTCTTCCANGACCTTCTTCCCAAGAAGACCGCTGCCCCCAAGGCTGCCGGCGGCCCCAGCCAGGAGCTGTAAGCAACTCGCTTCAACTTTTGATTCTTTGGGTTTTACGGCGCGCGGGGTGCTGCTTTCTTCAGCTACGATAATGGGGTTTTAACGGACTGGGCACAAGTGATTTTTTATTAACGGGAAGAGCATTTTCTTTTTTTCAGATCCATTCGCAAAGCAACGACTTTTCCCGAGTTGTTTTTGCAGGAAGAACAGGGCTGTACATTACCAACCGTGGCCACGGATGGGTAAATGAGACTGGAGGGGAATAGCTGAATGACACGCTTTTGATACCATTACATCAACCAATTCAGCTTTGTTAAACTTTACTCCTTGTTCCTTTCCGGTGTCTCATCTTTCATTTCCTCTCCCCATCTCCGCACTCTTACAACTCACTTTCAGAAAACGCAGCAACCAGCTCGACTGGAAAAGCAGACATCCGAGACAGAGTCGACACGCGCCGCGCAGAACAGCCAGTACCCAGCAAAAATCACCGCCAACAGCAGAATCTCGAAACATGAATAAAAACTGGAAAAACGAAAGATAGCCAAGCCGAAACAGGGACCACCGACGAAGAAAAGCTACAAATTCATGCAAGAAACGAGCAAGACATAACAAACAACCCAAGATCTGAGAATAGAGAAGACAAGTCAGTCCCGAACCACGCTTCTCAGCAAACCAAGAATCAAACAAAGAACCAAACTGGCAGTGAACAAAATCAGAGATAAAATTGTTTGAATATTGACTCTTGACAAGTAAGCGGAAACAGCAACAAGCAAAGCCACATGAGAAAGCAACTAAAAGCGACCTTGCTCTACATCACTGTTTTGTCACAATCTCACGTCCCCTCCTCACGATGATGTCAACTATAGAAATGCACGGTACTTTACAAACAAGAAATCATATCCATAGAGAGACATGGAAACTCGACTCTCAGTGGACAACTACTTCTTTGTGTAATTGATTGTGCATTTCTACAGCTATACTGTGACAGTCTTTGAGAGGAAGAAAGACGACAAACAATACACATGCAAGGGAACATGTGGACCAGCAACACGGATACATGTCCCCTTGCAAAGACAAGACATGCCCTTTTCTACTATTATCCTTAGCTCGAGAACAAAACAATGTAGAGATGCCAGAAGCAGAAGAATGCACAAAAGACAAGAGTAGAGCTTCATCAAAGGGTTTCTTGTTCAGAGGTCGTACGCGAGACGAGCAATGGTCGAGTTTGCAGAGTCCGCAAAGACAACCGAGTCGAGAAGAAATGATGGAGGTGGATTGTGTACCTCAAGAGGTAGTTGGGAACAAGCAAAAGAGCAAGGCGAGAGAATCACAGCTGTTGTGCTGGAAGACAAGTCAGCAGGACCAGCCACCGGTAAAGGTCAAGGAAGGGAGGTGGTTGACAGAAAACCAAGCAAAAGGGAGAGAGCAGGCAGATACGAACATCAAGAATGAAGCCGTAAAGACAAACATTGAACTAGGCATCTGTTTGATTCGGCTATCGAGACAGCGAAGCCAACTTCAAGCTCTCGAAGCGAGGGTTGCTTCAAGACATCACGTGTACAAGTCTACAACAAGGTGGTGGAAAAGTCAGAGCACCTACATCGAGGCTGAAGTCGACGTCACCACGACAGTGTTGTTCAAGAGATCCATGTGCACACCGAAGAAGAAGGAGGCCCAGGTCTTCACACCAGACAAGACGGTGGGCGAGAGAGTTCTCATGAACACAGCCCTTGGGCTGGTCACGACTGAGATCAAGGAGTAAGGGCAGCAACAGTGGAAACAGCACAGGAGAGATGTCAATTGTAATGTGACAGAGCTGGAGAGTAGAAGGGAACAAAGTATACATTCAGGATCGATCAATCAGATATCGTACGTAGCATCAATGAACCCAGCCTTAGCCTCTTAAAAGAGTACCAAAGTGAGAAACTCAGTGCTTGACTCTATACTTTTTTATCATCATGTAGAAGCGATTCGTCTGTGTATGTGTTTTGGTTTGCAAGAAAGTCTTTCTGGAGAGGATTGTTTGGGAGAGGAAAAGCAATTGTTGAACAGAAGCAAAGAATTGGTATCGAATTGTTGGTTGTGGTATCTAGATTTAGCAGCCTGGCGGAGGGGCTGTGCAGAGATGTTTGTCAGTGGTTGAAAAGGGCGAAGGTGGTGGGAGAGGAGAGACGTACGCTCAAGGATTGGGCAGGGCAAGTTACGCTCGTACTTGCTGCCGCCGGGAGCGGTGGGAGGACGGTATGGATCGGGGTGCTTCCACTGCTTGAGGAGTTCTTCGGTCTGGTCGAACAGGATCTGGTGGGAGGAGGAAAGAAGAACAGTCAGCCAATGGGTGTCTAGTGTATGATAGCGACAGCATTGGAGTGGTCCGGCGCGCGGTGTGGGACGGGAGGAGCTCACTCTCTGTTGTCTGGGCTCGCGGACGTTGGCGTTGGCTTCGAAGAGAGAGCGAATGTACATGGCCTGGCCACGCCAGAGGTAGCGGTGGACGGACCAGTCAAGGGCCAGCTTGAGTGACCGGCGGTATAGACGGCTGTGACGAGGAGAATCAGCACGCGCGCAGAGACACGGACGGTGGATCGGGAGGGCGGTTACATGGCGGGTGTGTTGACCATTGTGTGAGGAGGACCGGATGGCTGGCCGGAGGGTGTGTCTAGTCAAATGTCCTGTTGCGACTTCCCAATCGATATCCTTGGCTCGCTGGCTGGCAGCAGCTGCAGTTGCTGACCTCTTGGCGCGCGTAGGGCTGGGTCGGCAAGGCGCGGACAAAGTCGGAAGGGCCTTTCTGACGTACCGACGCGCTTGCTTGCGGCTGATCACGACGGCTGGACACATCGAGATCATTTTCCTTGCGACTCCTCAAACTCCAAACAAGCATCAACTGCTGTCCCTAGCCCCTCTATACCGCAACCCCATCTACGCCAACTCAGGACCGCCTCCCCTTCGCGTCCTCTGTTGCTCGACACTTTCGCTCTCGCCTCATTCCTCGACTGCTCGCGTCCTTTCTTCCACACCATGTCCAGCCGTCAATGCCTCCGCCTGGCCGCAGGTGCTTCGTTGCGCCCTGCTGTCCGCGCCGCTCCCAGACACGCTACTCGCTCTGCCGCCGCTCTGAGATGCCTCTCTACCTCTTCCGTCTCGCGCTCCTCTGCTCTCCTGTCACAACAACCGAGGTAAACTCCGCAAATCTCGCAAAATTACCTCCTTCTGATCACATATCCNAGGACACCCGCACATCTCCTCCGCTCTTCTCCCATTGCTCAGGTCCAGACCCGCGGCTATGGTGCGTGAACTTGCCTGCAGACATGCTTGCTACCATACTAACAGCTATATCGCNNAGCTGAGAAGATCGTCCAGGTCCCTACCATGGCCGAATCCATCACAGAGGGTACCCTGAAGCAGTTCTCAAAACGTGAGTATTGCCCTTTGAACTACGAACAACGCTTCCTCTAACCTCATCACNNAGAGGTCGGCGACTACGTCGAGCAAGACGAGGAGATTGCTACCATTGAGACCGACAAGGTACACCACGTCCAACATGCGCGATTTTCACCTTCACCAAACTAACCATTTCCGACCAACAGNATCGACGTTGCCGTCAACGCTCCCGAGGCTGGTACCATCAAGGAGTTCTTGGTCAACGAGGAGGACACCGTCACCGTCGGTCAGGATCTGTTGAAGATGGAGCTTGGTGGTGCTCCCTCCGGCGGCAAGGAGGAGAAGGCCAACGAGGAGCCCAAGGCACCTGCCTCGGACAAGCAGGAGACCTCATCTCAGCCTGACGGTGGCAAGGAGAAGGAGGCCCCCAAGGAGGAGAAGAAGCCCGAGCCCAAGAAGGAGGAGCCCAAGCAGGACAACAAGCCCGCCCCCGCCCCCAAGAAGGACGACAAGAAGCCCGAGCCCAAGAAGGACTCCAAGCCCAAGGAGGAGTCTGCCTATGGCAACCGTGAGGAGCGCCGCGTAAGACACAACCATCATCTTCAAACATGGAGACGCCAGGACTGACAAGTTGGTTACAGNGTCAAGATGAACCGCATGCGTCTGCGTATCGCCGAGCGCCTGAAGCAGTCGCAGAACACCGCCGCTTCGCTCACCACCTTCAACGAGGTTGACATGTCAGCCCTGATGGACATGCGCAAGCAGTACAAGGAGGAGATCCTCAAGAAGACTGGCGTCAAGCTCGGCTTCATGTCCGCCTTCTCCCGCGCCTCCGTTCTCGCCATGAAGGACCTCCCTTCCGTCAACGCCGCCATCGAGGGCCCCAACGGTGGTGACACTGTCGTCTACCGCGACTACGTCGACATCTCCGTCGCCGTTGCCACCGAGAAGGGTCTCGTCACCCCCGTCGTCCGCAACGCTGAGTCCATGGACATGGTCGGCATCGAGAAGGCCATTGCCGAGCTCGGCAAGAAGGCTCGTGACAACAAGCTCACCATTGAGGATATGGCTGGTGGTACCTTCACCATCTCCAACGGCGGTGTCTTCGGTTCGCTCTACGGTACTCCCATCATCAACCTGCCCCAGGCCGCCGTGTTGGGTCTCCACGCCATCAAGGAGCGTCCCGTCGCCGTCAACGGCAAGGTCGAGATCCGCCCCATGATGTACCTCGCTCTCACCTACGACCACCGTCTTCTTGACGGCAGGGAGGCCGTGACCTTCCTCGTCAAGGTCAAGGAGTACATCGAGGACCCCCGCAAGATGCTCTTTGGCATCTAGATTTGTTTGACTTGACCTCCTTTTTAATTACATCATAGTCATTGCGCCATCATGAAAAGAGCATCCTGATTCTCTGTCGAGGATATTGAGTGCTTCTAGGAAGCAGAGAGTAAACCTCTGTTGTGTGTATATCTAAACTTTTTCTTTGTTCCTTTACGATCAGTTCTCTGATTTTCCTCGGTTACTTTGGTTACCTTTGAGCTGCTACACAGCTGCGACACTTCCACCAGTCCTGTTTTGTTTCAGGGGAGTTGGACGCTTATGAACTATGCTCGCAATCCGTGCTTTTTGGACTTTTGCTCCAATTACGAAGCCACACTTGCCATGAAACGACCATTTATGTCAGTCTTGAAAAAAGGTTGGAGAGATACTTGGCGAGATTTTGGACAAACAGCTTGTTGCTTCTACTGACTGCTCACATATAATATATCATTTGAAAGGACGAAGCTGTGTTTCTATCTTGCGAGTCGAGATGGAGATTTGCTAGAGCTTCCTCCACATCTTCCGAGTGGAGCCGAGGCGCAGAGGGCAGGGTTGTATCCCATACAAGCGCTGTCAAGACTATCGACGACATAACTTCTCAACACATAGAAAGATCTTGGATTACACGCTGCAGGGTACATCTCTAGTATATAGCGCAGCTACGTTGTGGCTTTCGAGCTTTGCTGTTTCGCTTCGGGGAGGATATAGCCATTTTACTGTTTTGAAGATCGCTGGTTTGGAAAATGGTCAGTCATCAATGCAGAGATGAGTGCATTTCCTGATCATTGTAGCACAATTACATTTCTGGCCGGACGGCATGTATATACCCCTAAAAAGGATACGAATATGGAAAGCGACACTTTCTAGTACCAACCACAATGGCTGCACAGTGAGAAAACCACCTGGTCGTCGTTACTGCCTCTTCATGTCAAGACGTTCCAAACACACAAATCGAGTTTCGGAGATCGTTCCAATAGAAGCCGTCGGCTGCAGCATTCCTATCTTGTCCCCATCAATCAGCATCCTTCTACAAGCCCGACGCGAGCGTTGCCATCAGACCAAAGCAGTAATCGCGCCTTCTCACAGCACAAGCCCTTTTGCTTCGACCGAGTCATGACCTTGAAGCCCCGTCTAACTTTGGAAGAAAGATGTCCCTTTGAGCCGTTTGTGATTTTGCACAGCTGCTTCCACCCATTCTGATTCGTCCCTCTAGCGGTACGACAAACGGTACCGCAGAATCCTTTGCCGTCGACTCATGCCACGACGTCCAAATAGGCTTGCGCAAGCGGTCGGATGTTGTTGTTCCTTTGCATACCACGTGGAGGTTCTTCGGTGCGTATGGAAGCTTCGGCCTAGTACGGCCCAGTGGGTTTCTGAATATCTACGGCGTTCGCACGTAAGTTTGGTGTACGACTCCGGCATCAGCGACTCCCATGCAATAGCCCACCTCATACCACGTCTACGTCTCTCTCAAGATGATCAGCAGAATGCCTGATCGCTAGGATAGAATCATGTCAGTCTCTCATGACTACAGAGACGAGCTTGATAAGCAAGCCTCTACCGATGATATAACGTATCTTGGCATTTGCTTTCGTCTTGCCTTCGGGCTGAAGCATGAAACTCCGTGCTGGTACACTAACATACCAATTGTCACAGATCGTCAAGGAGAGGCATTACTCTCTCCACCGTCTGATCAATGCTTTTCTGATTCAGGCTCATTCCTGGCCCTCGGTATCGCTTTCTGACTGCCGTGTCTTGTCCATCTCTATTTCTGCTGTTCACGTGGCCTGTTGAACATCTCAGCATCGAAAGGTATAGAAATGTCTGCCATTTTTCGAAGCCCTAAGTCCTCTACTTGATGATAAGCAACGACACGACTCTTTCTTCACGACTAAACGCAGCTCGACTGTCCGCTACAAACTCTCATCAGTCAGTCCCAGCATTGCTCAGGTTACAATTGCCGTCGCCAAGTTGCGCACAGGCTTCCTCTTCTCCATACGCTCGGACCTCTCTTTGTATACCAAGGCTGAGGATATGTCGAAGATCTTCGCACACGGATCACACCCGGAGAATCAATTTGCTAGGTGTCCCAATCCCCAGCGACACTCCAACGCTAAGTCTCATGGCTCAAAACTAAGGTCGCCTCTGACCTGAAGAATTGACCCTGTTACTGGCTGAATTTGGGGTGACAAGGCAGAATCAGGAAACTCTCATGACTCCTGGTCTGCAGATTATGATAACGCAGCCGCTCAGTTTCAAAGTCTTGCGAACCCTGTGGCGTCTTATATAACCTTGTTACAGCATGGTCCCCTTGTCTTGTTGTTCTATCGGACCTCGAACCGTTACTTATTGGTACCCTTCCTGAACGACACCTCCACGGAACAAGAGCCTCAATTGATCTGGATAGCCTCCGGACCTGGTGTCGAATTGTGCAGCTCCAAAAATGAAGTCCTTCGTGGCACTATTACTACTGGTCTTTGCTTGCTCATCTCAAGCACTTGATCCGAAACAACTACAAAATGCAACTGCTGCAGACATCTTGCAAATCGCAGCAGAAGAACTCCCTACCTGCGCGGTATGTTGACTTACTTAAGTAGTGGTTTCTTAATCTTATTTTCTATAGCTTACATGCACAATAACGACCATCAACGGGCCAGACTCACCATGCGACCTTACGAACCTCGCGTGTATCAAAGCCAACAAGGCACTTCAAGATGAACTGACTGTTTGCGTGAGGGCCAGCTGCACAATTCGAGAATCACTCAGTAAGCTTTCTGGGTATGCCCTGACGAAGCAGATCACTGACTATTGTAGCTGCAAAGGCATTTCTACAAACATTACTGGGCGCACCACGCCGTAACAAGGAGGCACTTGGAACTTATACGACGTTGATAGTGGGTGGGGTGGCTATTTTGACCTATGTCCTGCGAGTGATTGCTCGACTGCCCGGTTCAAGTTCAAAATGGGGTCTTGACGACTGGGCCATCACTTTAGCTATGGTAATACTCCGACCTCTGCTACTCCATAAACCAAGACTGACAAAGCATAGCTCTTTATCATCCCACTGACTATCTGTGCATATGCCCGTAAGTCTTGTATATGTCCTCGTCTGGGCCTCCTGCTGAATCTTCATAGTGAATCAGATTGGTATGGGCAAGGACATGTGGTTCGTGTCGTTTGATCATATTACAAAGATTCTCGAGGTACGTTTGTGAGAAATCGTTCCTGCCTAGATACAAACTGACACGTCATGGTTANNGATCTTTTACTTCACAGAACTGCTCTACCTAACAGCCATTGGACTGACGAAAATATCAATGTTGCTTTTCTACCTCCGAATTTTCCCGGACTGGAAACTTCGTCGCGCCATATATGGAATGATGGGAGTTTGTCTTCTGTACATCGTCGTTTTCGTCACCGTCACCGCCCTGCAGTGTATCCCAGTCAACCAGGCCTGGCTGAAATGGGATGGCGAGCACAAGGGAAAATGCTTGAACTTGAACGCTGATGGCTGGGCGTCCGCCTCCCTGAATATTATCCTCGACCTGATCGTTATCGCCCTGCCAATGAAGCAACTCACGTCTCTCAAAATGAGCTGGGTGCGCAAGCTGGGTGTCGTAGCCATGTTCCTCGGTGGTGGCTTGTAAGTTTTGCGTCTTGGCAGCATCAGAACACATGCTAACCCACGTCACCAGCGTCACCATCGTCAGNNTATCCTACGCTTAAAATACCTCATTCAATTTGCACACACAGACAACGTAACCTGGGACTATCTACCCGTCGGCTACTGGTCTGCAGTCGAAACCCACGTCGGCGTCATGGTCGCATGCGCGCCGGCCATGCGCTCTCTCCAATACCAGATCCGCCAGAAGCTCTGGCCCAAGCCCGTCACCCAATCCTCCTACTACGACGACACCAAGAACAGCAGCAAGAACAAGAGCAAAGCCGACTCTGCCAACCGCAGCTGGGGTGGCTCCAAAATCGACAGTCGCTCGCGCCTAAGCACCATCAGCCACCGCAAAGACGACTTTGTGCAGATCGACGAGTACGAGATGAACGTGGGCGATGACTTCTCGCGCGGCAAGGACGATATGAATCCCGTGGTGGAGGCCGACGCAGCCTCGGAGGGCTCTATAAACCGCGTTTTAACGCCGCATGATGATATTGCGCCATTGGCTGCCACGGCAGCGCCTATTGGGAGGGGTCATGGCATCATGGTTCAAACAGATTGGAGTGTTGGAAGAGAAAATCGAGATCATAGACACGCTCGCTGACAACAAGAGGATCCAGGAAAATTCAATTTCCCGATGCTTTTTCCCTTTGTTTAGACAGAAATACACTATATGCATGGATAACTCCAACGATCAAGAGCGTGAAACCAGTACTCGCTCAGTCACTCTTACACCTTTAAAGTTGATCATATTCATCCGCTGGTAGCCATCTATCTTTGTACTAATGTATTGATGAATTGGAAAGCGCACCTGTCGCTCGGTGAGTAAAGCGCTAACTACAGCTTGACGCCCTGTTTGGTGTGATGTGTCTGGGCATATGGCACTTAGGCGCTTAGATGCAGACGTACGACTGGGCAGCACTTCGAACCCCAAGTGTCACTTTGTTTTGGTCCCACATACTTCGATCTCATCTGTCTCTAGCAAACACGTTCAAGCAATATATTCTCCTACCTTTTTTACCACAATAAAGTTCCGAGAACTGCAAAACCGCCTAAAACTCAGCAGTCGATATGGCCTTGCAATTACAGTCTTTGCAACAAGCCTGCAGTACGCGTTCTTAGTGACTGTGTGATATGCGGGCGTCATCTTTGCACCGAACATGTGCAGAAGCTCTTTCATCCTTGTCTGACCCTTGGGCATGGATGGTTCTATAATCGCGATGATGAGGGCAAACCGCGTAAGATGAGTAAACGTAATGGAGTAAGTTCATCAGTCTCTGTTTTCATTCGTCAGCAACAAGAACTGACCGACCTCTCAATAGGGCAAACATCGTTTAGAAGTCGTTCGACTAAAGGACAAGGAAGAGAATGAAGAGAACCCCTGGAGGATTTACAAGCAGCACGTGGAATTGTAATGGCAGGATATTGGAAGCCAGTAGCTTCTTCTTTGATGGAACAGAATAGTGCGAACAGCCTTTCAGGAAATCAGACCTTACATCGCAGCTGCAGATAGATACAAATCACTTGAGGAATATAGGAAGCATGTTTCAGCAAAAGCCAACCGCCCACAAGACAGCAATGCTAAGCTAGATCCAAATTAAGAGCACAAGTGCTTCTTCAAAAACTCGGTCTGCACTTGAACATTTCTCTCGAAGTTAGAGCCAGCGTAAGCTTCGAAATGTCCTCCAGGCAGGATGTGTAGTTTCTTCGGCTCGAGCGCACGGTTGTAAGCTTCCAATGCAAGATCTGTCGGTGTCAAGACATCGTTTTCTGCTACAGTCATGAGTAGCGGTGTTGGAGAGATATGATGTATGTGCGCAGCTGGCATGTACTCGCGGAAGGCCTCGATNNTCTGTTTGGTACACCTTAGTTGAAGAACTCCGCATCAAAAGAAACAAGTCGCTCACGATTTTACTGTCACCTCATTCTTCCATTTACTCTTGCCAGCCCACGCCGTGAAGAAGTCAAAACTGTCAGGTGTGGGTAGGGCTGAAGGTTTGTGGACATCATAATCCACGACTGGAATGACTGCAGCAGGCTTTCCAGCCGCGCGCGAATGACGGTCTGATATGAAGATTAGTCATATCCACACTCCAGAGATTGTCAACAAACCGTCTTGGAAAAGCTGATTCAAGCCCGCCACAAAATCTGGTCGAATAAGGCGATGGAAGTTCGCCCAACCATCAACACATGGGGCTTGGCTCAGAACAGCCTTGACCCTTCGATCCACAGCTCCAACCCAAAGGACATGTCCTCCACTATACGAGCTGCCCCAAACACCAATCTTGTCTTTGTTGACTTCGCTCTTTGACTGGGCGTATGTGATAGCATCCGAGTAGTCACTAGTCTGCTGTGCAGGAATGATTTCCTGACGCGGCTGACCGTCTTTGGTGTCGCTGTCGCCAAATCCACGATTGTCGTAAACCAAGCAAGTGATTGGAATACTGGCGACAAAGTACTCAGCAAACGTGTTCAGGTCCATCTCTTTCAAGGCCGAGAAGCCGTGAGCCATGACGAGACAAGGAAGGGGATTGGTAGCCTCGGATGGCTTGTAAAACCAACCACGAAGCGTGACATTGTCTGAAGTTTGGAAGGAGACATCTTCGCGCATGTTGAGGTGGTATGTCAAGAACGTAGTCAAGAAGAGCTGTCCCAGTGGGGCATAGAGATATAGTTGTATTGACAAGTCATTCTGTGGTAAGCACGAAGGATGCGGGGTCGAGTGGAGTAGTGGAAGGCGTCCGAGAGACCATCGCACTTGTCTCGCTTTACAGGGGTAGTATGCAGCCAAGCAATCGAGTAGCTTCTTCACCAGGACGAGAAGGCTCGTTGTCAGAGTAGGAGTCCAACACTATTGCGCCAGCAGGTATATATGAACATGTCTGATCATTGTACAGTTGTAAGCAAGTTTCACTATCCTTTGCATGAGGAGACCTCGAGTAGCATCGATAAACTACTCGATACTCATGCGAAACCTCGATATTCGTGAACATAAGAAAGAAGATCGTTATCTCAACGCCTCTCTGGTGCTCTTTTCGAACTCAACATCGTCATGGCAGTCATTCTGGTGAAATTTGCATGGCCATTGAGGACGCTTCCATTGAACGCGTTGTCACATGCTTGCAGTCGCAGAGCTCCTGCGAATGGAGAAGCAAGTTGCGATGATGTTGGTAATTGATGTTGATGGATGCTCATCAATCGACCGACCTTGAGAGCGCTTCTTCTCAGTGGACGCCGAAGTTTACCCATCTTACCGCTCGCTGCCTGAACCTCGAGTCGTCGTCGTCTGCTGTGACTGCGACGGACATCAGATACCTAGACTGCTGGTTCAGTTGCGGCTCTTATACTTGAAACCCTGTATCTCGTTTGTATGCATCTTTTTGGAGTGAGTGAACCTCTTGCTTATCGATTTGAAAACACTGCACAGTCATTCTCAAGGACACCCAATATTGCTCCTGCCGCGTGGCCGACACAGTTAAGGGATATACGATGTCATGAGGCCTGTTCCCTCCGTCCAAACAGCTCACTAATAGAACCGTGCTTAAGGTCTTTGCTCTACCTCTAATACTTCTGTTGTTCACCCAGGTGGTGTTTGCACAGCCACACGACAATTACGACTCACAGCCACAAGGCTTTATACATCAACAACAACCTTTGCTCGACCCTACACTTTACAACAACACAACCATGGCACATCAAAATGGCTATCGCGCCGTCTCATACTTTGTCAACTGGGTAATGATTCTTCCAACAATTGAGTAGCTTGTAGACCCCTAACAACGGCAAGGCAATCTATGGTCGCAACCACCAACCCCAGGATCTGCCTGCAGACAAGCTTACACATGTTCTCTACGCATTTGCGAACATCAAGCCCGATACTGGCGAGGTACATCTCACAGACGCATGGTCAGACACCGACAAGCACTACGATGGAGACTCCTGGAACGATGTCGGCACCAATGTCTACGGCTGCATGAAACAACTATTCCTGCTCAAGAAGCGCAACCGGAATCTCAAGGTACTGCTCAGTATCGGTGGCTGGACATACTCACCGAACTTCGCTGGACCTGCATCTACCGAAGCTGGCCGCCAGTGTTTCGCCAACAGTGCTGTCGCTCTGCTCAAAGACCATGGCCTTGATGGCCTGGATGTTGACTGGGAGTACCCGGCAGATGACGCTCAAGCTAGCGACTACGTCCTCCTTCTGAGAGCCACCAGACTTGCTCTGGATGCATACTCGCAGTCACTCCCAGGAAACCCACACTTTGCCTTGACAGTTGCTGCACCCTGTGGCCCCGAGAATTTGCAACGCATGCATCTACGTGACATGGATCAATACCTAGATTTCTGGAACTTGATGGCCTACGATTTCACAGGCACTTGGAGCACTCACGCAGGTCATCAGACCAACATCGGTCCTTGCAACCAAAACCCCCAAAGCACACCTGTCAGCACTGACAATGCTGTTCGCTGGTACACTGAGCACTGTGGCATTCATCCGAGTAAACTCGTCATTGGCATGCCACTATACGGCCGCAGCTTTGCAAACACCGATGGACCTGGCGCACCGTACTCTGGCGTCGACTCTGGAGCCAGCTGGGAAGCTGGATCTGGCATCTGGGATTACAAAGTGAGTCTTTCCAGAACCTTCTCTCTGTCTGCAGAATTCACACTTCCATGATGCATACAAAGACATCGCATGACCTTTTCCACCGTTCTTACTAAACACCGGATACATGGCAAGAGACGCAGCACGTATCAGAAGCCCTCTGTCCCCATTGTGGTTTTTGTGCTTGGCTTGCTCTCTTGTCGGGTCCATGAGCGCCCAAATAACTTGATCTAATCTGACCCTCCTCCCCCGCTTTCTCCTGTCCCTCACCAAACACGTTGCAAAACCACTCATCTAACGCGAAACACCACAGGCTCTGCCCCGCCCAGGAGCAACCGAACACCACGACCCCACCGCCGGCGCATCCTGGAGCTACGACCCCTCCTCTCGCATCATGATCACCTACGACAACCCTGCCTCCTCTGCCGCAAAAGTAAGCTATATACGGCAAAGAGGACTAGGAGGAAGCCATGTGGTGGGAAAGCAGTGGAGATCGTGTTGGCGAGGGAAGTCTGATTACCTTGGTAGTCAATGGAATGGGAGGGTTTGAGGGCAAGCATATGCAAAAAGTGGATAATTGTTTGAGTTATCCGGGGAGCAAGTTTGAGAATTTGAGAAAGGGGTTTCCTGGGGAGTGAAAGGGGTTGTAAGTGAAAGGTGGATGGAGATGGGAAGTGTGGTGATGGAAGTGCTATCGAGTCGATGATCTGCAAATGCAGCTTTCACTCACATGCTTCTCTCTTTCACTGGGCATCAGGGATTTGAGGCATCATGTTGTATGAGATTTATTTTATCCCTGTAGCGGGCCGTTGGCGCAATGGCTTGCCTTTGCATCAAGTTACTGGTTCGATCCTAGGCGTGGCCGCTATGGCCGATCATGTCGCCTTGTCGACTGATTCGTGCCCGCTCGGAGCGGAATAAAGACGGTTGGTGAGAAGTTATGGGAGGTTTTTTTTTCTTTTTGATGTTGTGCTCAATGGTAGGTACAATCTAGAATGGCAAGGATCGCAATACTTGTTCTGGGTATACTGTATCGTACTGACGGTATGTGATGGGATAGTATGCGCCTTTCTATATTTGCATCTAACACAACACTCTTCCTTTTAGATTGACAACTCTCCTTTTGACACCTTCACACTTTGCCCACTGCACCACTCCCTCTTCATCCCAGCCAAACTCCACATTACCACCACCTCTAACTCTCAATCCCTTGACACTACCACCCGCCCACTCTCTCGGGATCGCAGGCCCCAACACCACACTCCCCAGCTCCTCAATATCCACAACCAACATTGCCAACACCGCCCCCACGAACCCAAAATTCGCGTCGATTTGAAAAGGTTCGTTTTTGCCCGAATACATGGAAAGCCCATTGGAAGCAATGTTTTGGGATATGGTGAGGCGCAATTCGTCGTAAGCTTGAGAAGAGGCATTGAGGCGCGACCAACAAGCTGCGCGCCAAACCTTTTCCCAGCCGGCGTTTGAGTCGGCGATACCTGGGCCGCGCTGGATGAGAGTTTGTTTGACGGCGGAGGAGATGGTGGAATCTGTGTAGCCGGATAAAATGCCAGAGAGGGAGGAGCCTGGGTACCAGCCTACGAGGTGGGAGAGATGGCGGTGGGTGGAGTTTGTATTGTAGAAGGTGTCTAGAGAGGTGATCTTCCATTCTTGGAGTGTGTGGAGGGTAGGATTGACGTGTAGGCCTGTGTCTAGATTCTGTAGCGCGAGTGTGAGGTTGGAAAGGAGAGGGGATGTGTAGTTGAGGGCTTTCGCAGAGGAGATGGTGTTTGTGAAGAGAGATTGTAGAAGTTGTTGATGGTGCGCACAGCCGAAAGTGGTTGGGCCATGCTCTGGCGAGGAGCAAGGGTTTACGACCAGAGTTCTATCATCAAACCATTCATCTGCTTGCATTTGGCTTAACCAGAACGAAGCCACACCTTCGAGTAATGGATACCCTGTCTTGTGAAGCCAGTCAACGTCCTGAGAATAGGAGAAATGGTCAAAGACGTGCAACATCATCCAAGCCGCCGATGCTGGATAATCTGCCCAATAGTCATCGCCAGTCTTCATCCCAGTGTGGCCGAAAATATTCATCTCATCATGAGTTACCCAGCCGGGTGCATCGTAGAGCAGTTTTGCAGTCTCAGTACCTCGAGGCACCCAGGTGTCTGTCATGTATCGCCATAGTGCATCTTGTAGCTCGCCAAGTCCTGTCTGATCAACTCCCCAGTGATTCATCTGCAGGTTGATGTTGGCATGGTAGTCAGCTCCCCAGGCATTTTCGAGTCCGTAAGCCCATTTTCCTTGGAGGTTAGGTGGAAGCGAGTTTTGGCGTGAAGAAGAGATGAAGAGGTGACGACCATAATCAAACTGGAGGGATTCATAGTAAGGGTCACTTCTGATGTTTTCGGTGCCTTGGTAAGCGGCTAACAGCTCTACTGTTGGTTTCCCTGCTGATCCAGCTGTGTCTGGAAGGTTGAGAGTGAAGCGTGAGGAGAGAGCGGTGTAGTCTGCGATGTGGCGATGCAACAAGGCTTTGGAGCCCTTTGCCGCTGCCGACGCGGCGACAGTAGAGATATAATCTCCTGGGTCTGGTCCTTTATAATAATAGTTGCTCGCCGCAGTACCCTCGGTCTCTGCGTAATCAGTACCAGCCGCTGTTATAAGAACCAAAGATCGCTGCTTGGGACTTGGGTTGACTGTGAGAACACCCGAAGAACAGGAAAGCGATGACAGTCTATTATCGACTTTCGCTTCGGCGCGATATAGCATACCAATTTCTGCGCGAGTAATGCCCAAGAGTGATGCGGTTCTTGAGGATGTCGAACATGTAGAGCTGACCAGGGAGGCATTCGACTGCAGATTCTCGAACGAGATATGTATAGCTGGGAGTGGATCGTACGAAGATAGCTCGTAGACACAAACACTGTCTGGATAAGAGCAGTAGACTTTGCNTGCTTGGCATCAGTATCTCGGGACATAACAATGCCAGTCTGTTCTCGCCTACCTCGTGTATTTGCTGCCATTCGCTTCAAATGCGGTTGCATACACACCAGTTGCCAAATCAAGGGATCGGTTGTAGGCCGTGAAGTTGGATATGCTATCAATCGAGATAGACAGGTTTCCAAGGACAGCATAGCTTCCATAGTTGTTGTTGTCTCCCATCAAAGCAGTGACATTCCCTGTGCCATTCTTGAAGATCCAGTCGCGAATACCTGGCAGAGAAGACGACACAGAAGATTGAGGATTGCCTCCATTGTAGCTCGAGTTCTCGAATGGACCACCACTCCACAAGGAATCCACATTCAAGCTGAGTTTCTCGTGCCCAGGATTGCCGAATGGAAGTGNCTGTTGCCAAATTAGTAAGATATTGAGAGGTTTACATAGTCGAGCAATACCAGCTAATCTTCCGTTGCCAATTGGATATGCTGTCCTGATTATATCTGTAAAGTTGTTTGCTGGCTCTGCTGCCCAAAGAGACTTAGCATGGGCACTTTGTGTTAGGCACAGCCCTGGCAGCAAGCCGAACTGTATGAATTGTTTCATGGTAAATTGCGAATGGGATTCCAACACTATCCAGGTTCACGCGCAGCAGTATTTGAATCTTCTATTAGCCATGCCTGCTCTTGTAATGCAGTGAGGGGTGCATGAGAACATGTCTGTGAATTTGTCCGGATCGTCATTGATGGTCTTCTGTCAACCCCGCGAACCTACATGATGAGAACCGTAAGGATTCGCTGTCTATCAGAATTTACTGCACTGCTTCGGGATAATAGCCGGCGAAGGCATGTCGATGGAACATAAAGACATCTGGCGACAAAGAGGGAAAAGAGCAGCTGCGGGCTGAGAGCAGAAAGCAAAGACGGCAAGAGCAGCCGAGGTGAAAGGGCAACGGTCAGGCAAGTGCCAAGGAATGCGGAGAAGTCGGGTCGCGCCTTCCTGTCGTCTGTGCGGGCGGAACTTTTGAAGATTCCATCTTTGGAAGGCGTGCAAGATTTCAAGCTTCTTCCACGCCCACGACGCTGCGCCCACACGAACAATGGAGGCGCTGAGTGATTTCAACACCCTACAACAGCAGATCCAAGCATCCCTCGTCGCCGTCACTCGCTCATCGCAGGTCATCTCATCCGAGGACCTGGGCTTCCACCGCTCTCTGGATCCATCACTGGGTCGCGCACTCGACACACAAAATGCGCGGCTTCTGGGGCTTGCGGAACGCCTTTTGGGCAATGCGGCTTCGAATACGGAGCTTGTACGTCCCAAGTTGCCCGACACAGACGCCGTAGATGCACAGTGGAGCAGCGTCGTTGATGTTATCGACAGCTTGCTCGAGAAGGCAGACATAAGCCTGGACGAGTACACGGGTGCAGTTAAGCGCTTGAGCCCGGCNCGGAGAGCAGGTCAGGCCCTCTTCTCAGTTCCTCTCTCTCTCCAACAACCCACTGACTCGACCCAGGCACAAACACCGACCAAGTCGCAAAAGTATTCGCGCATCTCCAACGCCCTCCGGACACAGGACATTCCCAAACCTCAGCAAAACTTCTTTGACATCCCCACCAACGCCGAATCAGGACCCTTCAAGCCGCTTCTCCAATCAAAACCCCACGCCATCGTACCCTTCGCCAAAGCTCTGGAACTATTCAAAGACACAAACAATGTCCAGCACCACCCTCACCCCTATCAGAAAGAGATCGAGCAATACAAGTACCCTACATTCGTCTACACGCAGGCTGAGCCGATCCCCTACCACCCCTACGAAACCACCACCGCTACATTTGTCGACACAGAAGACAAGGTCGACGAGATGCTTCAGGAGCTCAAGAGGGCAAAGGAGATTGCTATTGATTTGGAGCACCACGACTCGCGCTCATACATCGGTATTGTGTCACTAATGCAAATCAGCACTCGCGACAGGGACTGGATTGTCGACACTCTTCAACCATGGAGAAGAAAGCTGAGCAAGCTGAACGAAGTCTTTGCCGACCCTAAGATTCTCAAGGTCTTGCACGGCGCTTTCATGGATATCACCTGGCTGCAAAGAGATTTGGGCTTGTACGTCGTGGGTCTGTTCGACACGCATTTTGCATCAAGAGCCCTTGGATACTCAGGAGGAAGTCTGGCATTTTTGCTCAAGAAGTTTGTCAACTTTGACGCTCAAAAACAGTACCAGACGGCCGACTGGCGCATCAGACCCCTTCCTCAGGAGATGTTCGAGTACGCTCGATCCGACACGCATTTCCTTCTTTACATCTACGACAACATGCGCAATGAGCTCATTGAGAAGTCCGACTTTTCTGTTGCCAACCATGAACAGGACAAGGTTCACGACGTCTTGACCCGCTCCAGAGATACCGCCCTGCAAAGATATGAACACCCTGTTTACGATGCTGCACAGGGTTTGGGTGCTGGTGGATGGTATAAGATGCTGAGTCGTACACCAGCCCTCCTGGACAAGCAGCAATTCGCCGTTTTCCGGGCAGTTCACCAATGGCGGGACCAAGTTGCTCGCGAACAGGACGACAGCACGCACTACATCATGGCAAATCACAACATTTTCAGTCTTGCAAAGGAGATGCCAACCGAGAAGGTGCAGCTCTTCACCGTTGCTGGAAATGTCAGCCAGACTGTGCGACTGAGAGTCGACGAGCTACTGTCCGTCATCATCAAGGCCAAAGAGCAAGGTGAGAACGGACCCGACATGATTTCGACACTGAAGGAAATTGAAGCACACACGATGGGAATCCCACTCAATGAGACACCTACTCACTTTGCTGCTCTCAAGCGAGCACAGCCCAAGCAAGCAGCCGTGACTGCTCCGGAAGAGCCCAAAGCACCAGTTCTGAGGCGTACCGACAGTAGCGAGCCATCAGGAGTCCGTGCTAAGGTCTCCCAATTCTGGGGTGGTCTGTTTGGTGGCAAGAGCCAAAGCGGCCAGCCTCGTCCCTACTCATCAAACATTTCCCTCTCTGTCCCTCTTCCTCCCTTGACAGCAGAAGTGTTTGCTTCGTCGGCTCCATTGACGGCACCACCCACTCCTGCAACCGCCACACCCAAGTCTGCCACACCTTCGAGTGCGCTACCGACTCCTGCGGATCGCATCTTCACCATCAAGGAGCGCGGGCGCAAGCGTGACTCGGACGCCATCTCGACGGGCAATGACAATCTTGCGACCAACGCCGACGAGATCGACATCACAGCGGATGAGAGCTTGGAAGCTAAGCGCGAAGCCAAGCGTCAACGCAAGGAGCAAAAGAAGGCTCAGAAGGAGGCGGCGGCCCAACATGCGGCAGAAGTTGACTTGGAAGAAGAGGAGTTTGACTACGCAGCTGCCCCTAGCGTGTTGGAAGCCAACAAGGTGGACCCTCGCGACAGAAAGAAGAACAAGAAGGAGCCGAAGACAAAGGCATTCAATCCATTCGTCAAGGCGCTAGACACGATGAAGGGCATGCCCAGACAGCAGAAGGAAAGAGCTGGCAAGAGTATGACCTTCAGAAAGTAAATGCATGGAGTTTATGGGAGTTGCTAGGAGCAGGCATTGGTTATATAGACTTTGGACCACGAATGGTCAAGACATGATATTTTTTCTTCTTCTCTACATAAGTTCATAGTGACCCTGACCCAGTTTACCCCACAAATGCACATGTCAGACAGGTCGTCAACTCGACCCTTGACATCAACAACTTGCACTTCAATTCAAAAGACAAATCCAGAACACGCCATCACTTTACAACTACACCGACTGCTCACAATGTCCATCGCCTCACCCCGACCAAGTCTCAATCTCCCCTCCAGCCGCCGCGGCTCCACCAGCACAATAAATTCCGCCCGCTCACCCTCGACCTCACGACCATCCTCGATCCGCAACAACAGCACAACCAGCACACCCACCCCGGCCTCCTCACGCCGCCGCGACCGCGCCGCCCTCCGCGAATTCTACAATCTCCAAGCCTCTGCGACTNNCCAGACGCCAAACCGCCGCCCGCAGCAGCTGCCACCACCCTCGCAACCNGAAGACCCTGGGCCTCAAGACGCATTGGCAACTCTCGATACCGACACCTTCTCAGCAAAACAATACGTGGATGGCTTGCTTGGATCTTCGGATGCGGAAACGCTGTTGCGCACGTTGAACGCCATTACGATTTCTGCGTTGGGGCTGGAAGGCGACAAGAAAGCTTTGGTGTATGATAATTATACTACTTTGTTGAGTGCGACGAGTACGATCAGTGGGTTGAGGGAGAATGATGCGCCGATGGCGACGTTGGAGCCGGCGGTCAAGCATATTGCTGATGTTGCCGTGAGTATTGCGGGGAGTAGGGATGTGGGGGACGGGGTTAAGGAGAGGCAGAAAGAGACTGTGAGGTGGGTGTTGGGTGCGCCAGAAAGATTAAGAGCGCTAAAAGAGCAAGAGAAAGAGGAGGAGATGCAGAGGGAGTGGGATCAAGTACGAGGGTTACTTGGAAAGTGGGAGGGTGTCAAGGGTGTGGACGAGGTGAAAAGCAAATGTGAAGATGTTGTTGGCAAGGACTGAGAGGTCGACGATGCATAAAATGGACAATCAACGACACAAAGACAACACCATGTCCGACGCTCGACACTCGTGGCTCTTAAGAAGCTACATCGAAATGCACCGCAACACGACGAAGCCACCCGGACCTGTACCCTCTGCTGCCTAGATGGCCACTTGCAGCCTTCCTCTTCGTGGAAACACGCTGCCAAACGCAGCCCTCCGAAACTCTTGGCCGCCGGTCTTCTCAAACGGACCGTGCCTCGAGCGATGCAATGCATTCTTTTCACCTTCGTCAAAGTCGCTCTAGAAGGGACTTTGACACTACTTTCGAACATCTTGTCGACGACTGAGAACATGCGTAAAGAATGAACTCGAATTTCAAGGCACTTAGCAGCAACACCAACAACTACATTGAGCACCACAAACAGCACATGGCAGCAAAGAGAAAAGTAAACATTGACACCGGTAGGTAAACCCAAGACAAAACTCGCAAACATCTACAAAAACTCAAGGACAATAAATCATATAGATAATTCGTCACCGTCGTCAAAGACCTGATAATGATGTCAGTGTGCGGATCATGCAAATAGAGTATGACCTTTTGATAAAAAAAAAAACTTACAATGCTTTCGGTCTCTTTGAGCACCTCGTCGACGTATGTGCCGTCTTGACTGTACTGGTCCATCATGGCGCTCGTGCCTTGTTCGACGGCTTTTCTAATCATCTCTGCATCCTGAGCTGGCGGCAGCATGTCCAGAGTCTCTTGTATAGCTTTCTGTCTTGCATCTATACGTCTCAAAACGAGTTCTTTTTTCTGTTTTTCTCGAGAGTTGGTTTAGCAATTGACGATACGAGATTTATTTTTTGGGAGTGTCGCAAAACCTACACTGTTGGCCACTTTTCTGATGCTCTTGAGAGCTTCGTCTTGGTATTGATCAAGTTCCGCCATTCGCAAGGCCATGGTTCCCTCTTGGGTACTGCCGCTCTCGTAGGCAAACCCGAGTCGCTCGACAAGGTCCACTCCTGGCAAAATGTGTTTTGCCGAGACTTGAGTGTATAAGTTGGCGGTTTCTTTGATTACCATGAAGTTTGCTCGTATCATGCAGGCGTTTCTATGACGATCTGTGTACTTGAGTCAGCTGAGTCTATTCAGGACAGTGTAGTGTACTACAGTACCTCTCTGCGAAAGTCGGACAGTATCAATCCAGTGGACTGATTGCTGGGGCCGTCGATGATTACGTTCTTCATTTCTTGCTCCAATGTTCGGAGCAACTTGTCAGTATGTCTACCGGCCTCGGCGTTGATGAGATTGGACACTGTGCCGAAGTAGATGACCAGCTTTGAGATCTTGGCCTTGAATCCCGACAGTGCTTTGATGGATGCACTCAAGATGACTATAATGTCCGACTGCAAATGTGTCAGATTATGTATGCTTCTCTGGCCCAGATTCTTATCATAACACTTACAAGCTCGAGTCTGTGAGCATTGAGTCGCTGTATCTTGGTCTTGATCTCAAGCATCTTGCCGTGTTGGGCAGCGAGGTCTGTGGTTCTCTGGTTGTACAGCTTTCTTTGTGACTCGAGGCAACTCTGAGCAATCTCGAATCTTGACGCGGCGTTCTGCATCTCTACCTGAGCTATATCACGACGAACGCGGTCAGCGGACTTGGTATTATCTCACCTTGTCAAGATATACTTACCGATGGAACCGGAGGCAGCGTTCTGCTTTGGTTCTTGACGTAACCTTGGGCTCTAGAGACATGGTCAGATCGGTCTGGCATTGAGCTTAGAGTTCTTACCGGTCTGAATGTAGGTCTAGACAAGCTGCCGGACTTCAACTTGCCCATGGTCCGCTGGATTCTCGCAACTCGCTCGTGCAGTTTCTTGATCCGCTTACCGGGCTGGAAATCAGCACCCAAACTCTGTCTGTCCTTGGCCGCCTGGTTCAGTTCGTCAAGCACCTAGTATAGACACAATTAGCAATGACGGGCGGATATCGTGATCCTTATCGCTCTTACCTCAATGGAATCTCGAACAGTCTCGACCAGCTTGTCAGCGCAGGACTCTGAGCTCTCTACACGGTCAAGTGAGTCGAGGATAGAATCCAGCAAGCCCCTCAAGTAAGTGACAGTTCCTGCTCTGCCATTGTGTGTTTCGTAGATGTTGTTCCAATCAGGCTCCTGGCCAGGTTTGTTCATCATCCTGGTTAGCAAGCCAACGCAAATTTCAAACTGACCAAGTTGCATTATCGAGGTATTGTTTGGGACATCGGGTTCGTCGAGAGTTGTAGTGAAACGCGTGTGAGCCGTGTCTCTGTGCATCTGCTGAGGCATGCCGCCTCCTAAGACGAGTGACGCAGCAGTAGAGATCGAAGACGAGATGTTCTCCACAAAGCTCTTCATGATCATGTCCCAACCTAATCGTCAAGTCAGCTCATGTCTTGGAGACGATATCCTGACATACCTGATGGGATAGCCTTGGTGGCAAGCTCTAATTGCTTTTCAGCGTGCGTCATTTGTCTTTCGGCCTCTTGTACTGCTTTCTCGAGCTCGGCCTTTTCCTCAATCTTAGCCTGCTCGTTGATCTCTTCAGTGGCGAGCTGTTGTTCTGTATCCATGAATTCACCATGAGCATTGCCTGGACAGTGTCAGCGAAGGCTTCGAATAATATAGGCACAGTGTTTGGCATACTTGACGACTGTGTTGCCGCTTGACTGAGCTCCATGGCAATCTTGATCCAATGGTCGAACTTGTCTTCCACTTCTTTGATGGACTCTTTACACTCGTTCACTGACAGTTTGAGCTGGTTAATCGCTTCTGGTAGCGCTTCACGAGTGTTGCGACGTGTTTGCAACGCCTGCATGATGTCTTGAACCTGTTATGAGATTAGCATTTGAACACAGCATGCGTTGGTCAATCAGCAATCACCTCGCCTCCGTTAGAGCAGATCTGCGAGGAGATCTTTGCAATGTACTCCATGTTCTTTTGGGCAACAAGCATGACAGGTGCGGGCAAAAGTGGCATTATCAATCTTTTGATCACCGTGAGTTGGCAAAAGCTTCAAATAGTCATCTGCTAATCACGGTACTCACAAAGCTCATGGCGGATGATTCGCAAAAGTACCAGAAACCTGTCGTTGGTATGATGAGAGAAAGTAACAGTCCAACATCGGGAGATGTTTACCTCTACCAAGATCCCACATCTGCAAAGTCACTCACACCAATGCTCTACGCTGATTGTGAGGGGCTGCAGCTGGTCGACCAGGCTTGCTCAATCAGCACATCAACAGGATACATACATGTATCAACAAACTCTGCAAGGATACTCGAGAATACAAGAGCAGTCAACGAATGCTACTGAACGCCGAGCAGTTCGAGACGTATCTCAATTCTGCATTCAAGCACTTCTGTTCCGCGGAAGGATTAAACCAACCGTTCGACTTTGTAAAGGCCTCTCTCTTACACTCTCCCATATCGTTCGATTTCTCGAACAATATCACCACCTTGGGTACGATTCTTTTGAAGAAAAGACACACCAAAGCTGATCCAGCGGGCGAGGATTTGTTGAAGTCATACTTTGATGTTCTCAGTAAACCAGTGGCATCAGCGATCATGTTCGATATCATTCGGAACAGGCGGACGGGCAACGCGGAAGCTATCTACAAAGGATACGGCGGCTTTGTCAAAACAGCTATCAGTGTCATTCTGGCCTCTCAGTGGCCTTGTGCAAACAAAGGTTGCGTCAACAAGGTCATTGGCCACGCTAAAGGTCACCAAGGCGAAAACGGGAAAGTTGACAAAAAGTCCAAACCAATCATTGTTGGTGATACCGTCATCCTTCCGGGCACAGAGTATCATGCCGCACTGGAGCTCGACTTCGATGCCGCCGAGAAAGACTTTGAGAAGAAAATAAAGAACCATCTCATCGATAATCTCGGACGTATTCAGCGTAATCATGACGAATCAAGGCAGGAAATCAAGGTAGCTCGAGACATGCACGTTGAGCTTATGAGGACTTTCTATCAGGATTTCGGCGGCATTCATGGCTCCTCAGATTTCCTCGACAGCGTTGGATGTATGTGCTGTCTCGTCGGTATCGCGAACAACAGCTTACAATGTGGCCATGTCATCTGCGATGATTGTGCTATGACTTTTGGTAAACAACTCAGCGACACGTTGATCGAATCCTGCTGCCCTTTTCACACATCAGAAGCCTGGTACAAACCCACATTGACATCGAAGATACCAGATCTCGCTAGATATCGAATCCTGTCTCTTGACGGGTCTGTACAGTTCAACCCTCTCTAAATCATTGAGAATTACTAACATCGATAGTGGTGGTATTCGTGGCATCAGTCAGTTGGCAATCCTTCGCGAAATTCAGGCCTATCTAGGTGAGAGCATACTAATTCAGTCGTTCTTCGATCTGGTTGTAGGCACAAGGTGAGTTGATACAGAGGGAGAAATTACAGCGACTGACCAACGTTACTTCAGCGTCGGCGGGACCATTGGCCTGGGCTTGTTTGTCAACGAATGGGACCTCGACGAATGTTCAGAGAGTTTTATGACCCTCTGTCGCAAAGCTTTCACTCCACGCGACTTCAGCGGTGTAGCTCGGAGCTGGATGTATTGGATGTCGCTATTGAGACACCGTTTCCAGACCGAGCCACTAGAGAAGGCTTTGAAAGAGGCCTTCTCCGATGACAGGTATCTTCTCGGAGGAAAGCGCCTTAGGGGCGCAACCAAGAAGTTTGGCGCCAAACTAGGGATCACCACATCTTCAGCAACATCCGGCTCTGTATTGTTCACAGACTACAACAGATTCGCAAAGGTCGAATTGTCACCTGAAGTTCGTTCAGAATAGCTTCCACTAACAAGCCAAAGAAACCGGAGATTACCAAGTCCATCGCATGCACTCACCCGAGCGGGGGATCAAGGTTTGGGAAGCGTATGTCATCACCGAGAGATATGTTAAGCCGTGAATTAACAGTATTTAGCGCCAGAGCAACATCTGCAGCGCCGAC